TGATATACTTTAAAATTTTTCTCAATAAGACCCCAATAAATTTTATAAAAAGTTAATATTCATTTGACTCTTACATAGCGCATGAACGTCCTTAAGGTAGTTCCAGCATGAAATCACTTTTCGACAGATTCGGCTGAAATTTTTTTTACGGGTTCAGAATAGCTTTATTTATAAATTCCTGAAATTTCATAATTTTTAACCGTTTAGATCGCGAGATATTTAAAGTCAAAGTTGACGATTCTGAGGGTCATGTTCCATTTAAAGTATGTAAAATGTCCGGTTTCTCCAACTATTTTTTATTATATTAAAAAATTCTCTCGACAGAATTGTAAAAAAAATTAAGAGAGTGTTGAAAAATGTTTTTAGAATAAGTTAAAAAAATAAAAATAGCACCTCACCGTTTTGTTATCGAGATATAATAATTTTAAAAAATAAATTTCGATCCATTTCTAACCTGCTCACTTAAAAACTTATAGTGATTTGGCAACGCCGTGCGCAACGCTCCCTGAAATAGTGTAGCATAAAAAGCGGGAAATTCAAATCTTTCACGGTTTTCAAGAGCAACGTTGTCAGATCACTAGACTAACAATATGTAATTGTATGTGTAAACGTCTGTGTGCCGAGGCTTTTAAATTTTTGTCCATAGTAAATGCTCTGACTATACTATACCACGCTGGAACTACGTTAAAATTACATTCGCGTGTACAAACTATTTTTATATATCATCTAAATTCATTAGTTATAAAGAATGATTTTTCATTTTAGTTAAGTCTTTTGAAATCGTTTAATGTTTGTGCACTTTTTATTTAACTAATTGCTTTAAATAAATCAAATCCTCATTATTAAATTATATAAAACAAAAAATATAACACGTTTTACTTTTCCGAACAATGACTTGCGAAAATAATTCACTGACTTTTGATAAAACAATAATTTGCTTTCTAACTAAACTGTCAAGCGATTAAAAATCAAATTTTATGTTCGACGCAAAATTATTTGTTATATTTCAAATTTACCTGATTAAAAAATGATCAACCTAAATTAAATCTACTTAAAATTACTTTTTAATACTCTTTTAATGAATAGCTTTAATGAGCCGCCTTAAAATTTTTATCACTTAATTTTTTAAATGTTGAAATAATTATAGTTTTAATTCTGATTAATATTTAATTTTACTTTACAATCTTTTTTTTCAATCTTAAGATAATAATTATTACTAATAATATTTTACAGAAAAAAGAAATAAATTTAATAAAAATTTTATACAATTTCATTTCTTAGCTGAAGAAATAAAAATTTTTCTCACAGTAACTTTTTTTGTTAAAAAAAATTTTTTTTGACAAAAAACAATTTTAGATTGGCGACTTGCGAATTTTCATCAAAAATATTTTTTTTTTTAAATCTAGAAAACTTTTCTTCAACAAGAAAATTACACAAAAATTTTTATTTCAACTAAGAAGTAAAATTTTTCAACAAATTAATTTCTTGCCAATGACATTAAAGTTAGCAGTCACTTAACAATTTTTTAATTTTTTTTATCAAATAGATTTTATCTAAAAAAAATTGTTTTTTTTTTATTTTTTAAAATTTCTACGTCAATTTTTTTTTCTACTTTTTTTTTTGCCATAATTTATTTGTTAAAAAAATTCTTAAAATTATAAAATATCTGCTAAATCAATTTTCATTTCTTGCCACAATAATTCCGATTTTTCTCAAAAAAAATTTTTTAAATTAATGAACAAATAAATAAAAAATTCAACAATTAAACTATTTGATTGAATTAGAGTGCAATAAAAAAATAAACGACAATTCATTATTATCCTGGGAAAATCCAAACTTTTATGTAAAAGTAACTCGCTCATGATATTTTATTCCGACATGAAAACACAATAGCGTATAATCACCTGCAGTAAAAGTAATTTAAAAATATATGCAAATAAAACGTATATTTTATAATTTAAAGCCTCATTTGTACTTGAAAACAAGTTGTTTATACAAAACAACTAAACGCTAAACTATATTTACTCTCTGTTTAGAAAATTAAATGTATTCTTTGGTGAAACAATAGCCACAGCTGATGTTGTCATCGTCGAGATTACAAAATGTTTGATCTCACGCGAAATACAGCCACGCGTCAGTGTCAAAAAATAATAAACTCGATAAAAAATTAAAATCGCTTTGCGGGTGAAAAATAAAGCAATGAAACTCACTCCAAAAATAATGCACAGTATCCATCCAAGTCGCGGGGAATTCGGGCTTTCCTGCGCGTGACGCGATAGGAGGCCACGGTTAAAAAGTTCGTTGGGGAGCGGCGAAAAACGCGCGCGTCCCAGCTGCTTTTGAGCGCGCGAAGATATTAGTCAGGTTATTACACTATTTTATTTTAAAATTCAATAATTTATCGGTAAATAAAAAAAAAAACACCTCACTCTAAAAAAATCACTTAAAAAAAATCACTGAAAAATCTCAAGTTAATTTCACGTAAATTTTTCTATAAAATCAACAGTTTTCTTCTTAATTAATTAAATATAATAATTATTTATCATACTGAAGTTAGCCGTCAGCTGTCAATTTTAAAAATTTTTTTAACAAATCAATTACAATAAAAAAAAAGCTTCTAAAAATTTTCACTTGTAATTTTTATTAATTTTCACATGTGGAACTTTTTAATAATAATTTTATTGCTTTAAAATTCTAAAAAAAATTTTTAATGTCTGTCAACTTCAGTGTCATAATTATTTCATAAAATAAAATGAATAAAAAATTAAACAGAATAAATTCACTCACAAAATTAAATTTAGTCACAAAATTGGCACTTGATTCAACAAAAAAAAAAACCTCATGATTAAAATTAAAAAAAAAAAATAAATATAGAAAAAAAAAAGTGTTAATAAACACCGTCTTATAATTATCCGTCGGACACTTAAAAAAACAAAGCTTGCGATAGGACACTATGGCGATGTTGTTTACTGACAGTAAAGACTCTCTCTTTCCCTCTAAAATTCACCTTCCTTTCTTTATCTCCCTCTCAAGCAGAATAAGAACGATATAGCCGGGTATACCGTGCCGTGTTACTCGTACTCGTGTGTTTAGAGTGTAGTGTGTTGAGTGTTATGTGCTTATACCCTTTCCCTGTTGGCCGCGAGCGCGCGCTAACCCGCTCACTCCCTCTCGCACAACTGCCCACGTTATGTGTGGGCTTGGAACAACTCCCTCTACTCTGCTCTCTCTTCTATCCGCCGAGAGTTTGTCTCGCTTGCTCTTAGCCGCCGTTTTCCACCACGCCACCGGATCAATAATTCACCATATATTATCCAAGTAACGGACGCGAGGAAGAAAACCGCGAGTCGAGATGAGTGTCGCACTGTGGATCAGTCGTACCTGACAATATTTATTTAAAAAAAATTACTAACTATTAATGACACTTTTAAATATTAATTTATAAATTTTATTTAAAATTTATAAAAACACTAAAACACTTGTAAGTGGTGTAATCGCAATAAAAACGGCAGCGCGACGGTTAATCAACAGAGCTGAGTTACATCTAAGAGCCGGGTACTCACTTGTATTGCCGTTTAGCTGGATTTACTCGCGCAGACCAACCCACACATTCACGGATCACAAAACACACTTTTAATTATTTTTAAAAAATTATTTTATTCGCTCACCTTGATTTGTTTTAAAAAACTTCACTTAGAAATAACAATTGACATTATTCTTATTTTTTTTAATTTAATTAATACGGTGAATCATTGCAGGAACTAAAGCGTGAAATAATAATAATAATAATAATAATAATAATAATAATAATAATAATAAATATGTAATAAAATAAAAATAAATACCAAGTATCGAAATCGGCGATCGCGTTACTGTGGTTCTATTCGCTGCCACGGTACAACGTTCACATTACATACACAATAATTTTGTTATTATTATTATTAATGTATAAGGTAAAAAGTAATAAACAATATGTGAAAATAATAACTCGCGTGAGTGTTTAGTACTTACCACAAGACGAGGTGACGTGATAAGCAGGCCGGTTTTAACAAAATTCAGACAGTATTCGGTCCGTAAATATGAGGAGTTACTCTGTTTTTGGTATGCCAGGAATGGCACAAAGAATCTAGACAACGCACAGGCCTGGTGCGCACCCGGTTTGCGCACACGCTGACACCGAGCGGCCGCGGGAGAAACCAGAATCCGAGACCGGTCGAAGTTTAACGTAACCACCCGATAGAAAACTCTCCGTTACCCCGATACCTCCTACTAGAGTTGAAATCTGTACCACGTGACGGTTATCCCCCACTTAAAAGGTTTAATAAACGGTCAGTCGCAGCATGCACGTATGAGAAACCGGCTGACTGTTACGGGTAACTCGCAACTCTACACTGAAGACTCAGTACACAAACTTTACAATACTCTATATTCTATACGTATACCTATAACACGGGTTTTGTTGTCTGTACTCTTACCAACAAGTAAAACAGCCAGTGGCTTTCATCGTTTTGTTTCGATCAAGCACTTGTTGATTTTCATTTTCATTCAGGTTCTTTTTTTTTTTTTTATTTATACATTTATTAATATTTATCACTCGGGTTTATTGTATTATATTTGTTTTCAGGTAGGTAATTCCAAGTAACGGACAACGGTTTATATTTTTTTTAATCCCCTGGTAAATAGTTATTCTAAGAATTTTTTTGTAATAAATAACTAATTGTTGATTTTTTTGTTTTTCAGGATCAGAATTTATAAACCGTTTCTTAAATTCTCACTAAAATATTCGACAATTAATAATTACTATTCAAAATGGTAATTAAACAGCAGGTAGACGATTCATGAAAAATGATAATTTTAAGTTTAAGTAATAAATAAATTCGGGACACAGAAAAAAGGAATAAATGAATGGTAATAAGTCGTAATGTTTTAACTTACATTTACAAAATTTTGACCAAAACATATTCGGGTTCAAAAGTTTTTTTTTCAATGAAAATTTACAGTCAAACATTTACACTTAAATCACCACACTGAAAAAAAAAAAAAATTCTTGACTAGAGTGTAAATTTTCTTGGCCCAAGAAAATATTAAGGGAGGTTGAAAATTTTTTGAATGATTAGATTTATTAATTTTATGCCAAGGCACAAATGGCAAATATAATACAATACAATATTTACAGTAAAGTAGAGTCTTAAAATTAGATTAATCTATATAAACTAAACGAATTTATTACTCCAAGTACGAAAGTACGATAAATACTGCGAGAAAATAATAGCTAATATAGTTTTTATATTAATCTTAATCGAGTTAAGCGAAAAGTTTTATATTAGAAACAACAATACAAAGTAAACTGAAGTTCATGATTTCGAAATTTAGTTATAATATTTAAGTTTTGGCTTATGCTCATACTGCTTTCTTTATAATTTAACCAAAAAGAATATTATCAAGCATCTAAACCAGATATCAGATTATTAAAAATGTCTAAGCTCGATGCATTTATAATCTCTGATGAAAGTTCTTCCTAAAAACGAATTGACGTAACAACAAATGAATATTCATAGTAGTTTGTACTATATAGTTTGGAATCTTAAAGCTTACGTTATTCCTCTTTACAGCGAACCTTTCAGATCGTCTTTCATCAGTGCATTCAATGAACAATTCACACAAGTAACTAGGTTTACCTATAATTAATAACTTGCAAAAATAACATAATAAATAATAAATATGACGGCTTTTAACCGAGAACCAATTTAAGTTACGTCTATAGGGTGTGATATCCTCATCACGTTTCAGCTTATAAATAAAATGAATGAATTCAAAGTTTTTTAAGCCACGAAAATTTTTTTTTGCTCCAAAATAACTTTTCTTGGTGCAAGAAATTTGTTTTTTGTATGCACCTATTTTTCGATTTCGTTAGATAACAATTAGTAAATGAAAGTTAACATGAAGAATAATTTTTTTTTAGAATTTTATAACAATATTACTATGAAAAAAATTTAATTCAAAAATTCTAGAAATAAAAATTGAAAAAAAAGTAGTAGAAATTTTTAGAAGCATTTGTTTGGTGCAATTGATTTATTAAAATTCAGTATCATATTTGAACAAATAGTGTTCATAAATTCTTAAAATTTTTACAGGAAAAATTAAAAAAAAAAAATGTAGTAATTTAAAATGCCAAACCTCTCGACTACAATTTTCGAACATTTATTTGTAATCTCCGCAATCCGACTCTGGAGAGAACTACCAACTGAAGTCACAGAATTACTCAACCTAGATTTCTTCAAAAGTAATATTTTTGACTTTTTTGTGAAACTGGAACGAGATATTGTACTATAAATATCAATCAAGTCACTTAAAACTTAAAATTTGCGTTACTAAATTGTTATAACTTGAACTTAACATTTAACCATTTAAACAATTAAATTCACCTTTTTAAACCCTATTATTTTTATTTTCTCATTTATTAGACATTGTTCTCTTTCTCATCATTAGTATATCACAGAGTTTATATCTATATTATTAGAATCATTTCTAATTATAAAGTTTCTTAAACTTGATCCTTCGGCTACTTGCCTTGGCATAGAAATTGAATAAATAAAATTTATTGGTACGAAAAATTCTAAAATTTTTTTAGATAATTTCTGTATAATTCGAAAAAAATGTTTGCTTATTATCGTTGAAATATTCTTAGCTCTAAAAAAGACTTGAAAAGATTAAATTAAAATTTCGGTCTGCCTAAAAAAATTTCTTAATTCAAATAAATCTTTTTTTTTTTAATTTGTTAGTTTTATATAGCTTCAAAGTTTTAAGATCTTTTAAAAAATCAATACCGTTATCTTACAGCGAAGTAAAAAATCCGAAAAGTGAACCAATAAATTCCCACTTTTCGCAATTTTCAGTGCAATGGAAAAGATAGTTATCACAAAGAAAGTTAAAAGATGAAAGAGTAAGTTTGAGTGTGCTTAACGGATCTAGGATGTTACGAAGGATCAGCTAACACAGTACAGGCACAAGGATAACTGACCCACTGAAGAGGCGGTTATCTTTATTCTGTTCAGAACACGATTCTTCGTTGTACTGTGTATTTTAGTCTTCCTTTAAAATTACAAAGAAAAAAAGGAAACTGGCCTTCATAAAATCTCACTTGTCCTTTTAAACAGTTAAAATGCTATGTTAAATTTCAATTCCTAGGGAAACATGTCTTGATCTAACAATCTACCTGAAAAAATTTTTTTAACAATAACAAAATTCATTGACCTTGCTTGCGTGACGGATTATGTTTATTACTAGAATATACAATTGCTTAGTATGTATTCTCACGTTGACTTTGTTTTAAGTTTTCAAATGTTATGCGGTAAAAGAATAATTTAATAACGTGTAATTAGTTTGATTAATAACAAATCAAAGTCACTATTATAATGTAATTATTTAATTGATAAAATTTTCTGGTGTAAGACGTCAAAACTATATTATTTACCCAATTCGCCGACAAATTGAGGTCCGAGAATGGTGGTCCTGATTACCTAGCGTGGTATTACTTAATTAAAGTACCAACTACAGCACCGTAGAGGGACTAGACCTTCCTTTTATTTCTATCTATTTAAACAGAGAATGAACAAGCAACCCTTGTATATGCATGTTATGTACACGACCCTCCGGCAAAATTAAATCGTTAGTTTAATTGCAATTTCACGTACACGCATCAGTGATATTTAACTGTTATCTCTAGCTGTTTACATGCTATATGTCATTGCAAACTTTTTTTCTTTTTATTCCGTTGCTGTTTTAAATTTTTAAACTTAAACTTTTTAAAAATCATTAAAATACATCTTTTAAATGTAGTAATATTGTAAAAACTATTTCAAATTTTGCAAAGAGATATTAATTAAGGTTAATTAAATCACTCTAGGCAGATATTAATATAATCATGATAATTAAAATTTGAAAATTTATCATTAAATACGTTATTTGCTTTAACGAAATATTTTTTTTCAAACGAAGAAAATCTTTTAGTTCGAAAGCTGGTAATATAGGTTTCAGATTTAGTACCGATTATTTTTAATCATTTTATTTAATAAACGGTCATAAAAATCAATAATTTAAAAATAAACAACAATCAAGATTATTCGTTTAAATTAAGATAATTATTCATTTAAAAAAAAAAAAAGCTCTTTTTCAGTAAAAATTAGATAATTAAAAAAACGAAATTTAGTAATTATTATCATGAATTTTGAGTACGCCGAACGATCAAAAATGATTCTTCATGTACTGAATTTTTATAAGAGGTAATATTTGTAAAAATTTGAAATATTGAAAGTTCAATGCTTTAAATACGTTTCAATCCTTTTGTTTAATCAGGACTTATTTTTGTTACTATGAAATATTAGTTACATTTATAAACTGCGACACTCATGGCGAAAATAAAGTTATTGATAGAATAATTGAATTGGAATTCGATACAGTAGATTTCGATATAATTAATAGTTGAAAAAATTATATCAAACAATAAATAAATTCTTGAATTATCAATGATAAATCACAATTAATTTTCAATCAAACCACCACTAGTTCTATTACACGGACTAATATAACTCGTCTATCAAAAACTGGCAGAAATTGAAATTCTTAATCTTAATAAAACCATCAGTCGGTAAATGTTTTATAGATCAAATTGAAAACGCAATTTAATTAGCCTAAAGATAAATTTTCAAGAAATAAGTTATCTTATTTCTTTAGAATAAAAAGACAAAAAATGCAATTTTCACTATCTTCAGAAAAATTCAAATGGCTATTATTTTAAACTTATTGACCGACTTAGCTCATCTATGAACTTATTTGAGGTAATCGTCTAAGAAACATGTGTACTAAATTTCATTAAGATCCATTAATAACTATAAGCACAATCGCGGTAACATGTCCTGGGCTGTCCCTTTATTTACCAATTATCATGATTAAAAACGCGACTTTAATACCCGAAATTGATTTTCCGAAGTAAATTTCATCTCTCGATGTAGGTTGCTGATTATTATTCATTTACTACTGCGCAATTGTACTTAAAAATGGTCAAATACACTTCAATAAAATTCGAATTGACTTAAAATTTTTATTAAATAAAGTGAATTCAATAGATACAAAAAGATTTTTACAATAAGCCTGAAAATATTGCTGCAAACAGCAAACTAATGCAACAGGAGCATTCATGAATGAATGGAAGAAAAAAAAGGTGTAAAATAATGTCCTTGTCATGTAAATCTGTCTCGAGAGATAAATACAAAAGTCAATAAATAACAAGATTGAATTAGTTCTTTAAATAATTTTCATATACTTTCTCTGCATAGAGTATGTACTGGAGCTGAAACAGCAATAACAACATTAGCCGTTAGTTATTTACATTGAAATCCGTGAATAAGCTACTATATTTTCTGTTGCCATTTCCCATTATGCAATGTCGCGCTTTGCATTCAATAGAGTTTTCTCATAGTGTATACAAAGAGATACATGTAATAGTGTAGGTTTATATATCAAGAAGCCTCTAGCCTCGAGCCTCGAGCGAGAAAGAGGCTACACGAGCAAGTTCATCGACACGAATACGAATACGATCAAGCAAACCGTATTTACCGTCTCTACTTAAACTACTCGAGCTTGAGCCATACCACCTGACTCCAGCAAGAAATTTAGCAGAGTCGCGATAAACCTCTACCGACCTCGCCACGCTCATATTCCCTCACCTGACTATGCACGACGAACACATTTATACATCTACGAAGAAATTTACGAAAAACTTTATTCCTATTAATCAATTATATGCCGCTAAATTATTGCAAAAGTTATTTTGCTTCCAAGATTTTCACTTTTGAAAACAATACGAAGAAATTTATGGGAATAAATATGTAAATTTGTTAACAAATTGAAATAAGTTATCTGAATGATGAACAATAAGAATTATTTTCGTAGAATGGACTCGAAAGTATGTATAATATACTTAATTGAGTTTTAATTGAGCTGATGAAGCACTGAGTTCGGTGAGTTTACTATTGAATCGTGAATATTACGAGTAGTTTCTGGAATCCCGCACTCAATAATCCCATTGGTTATTGCTTTTCCAACTTTGTGCCTGATATGCTTTATCAGTTTAATGTTTAACTAAATAGTAAAATTGGTGGCAATAATAATAATAATAATAATAATAATGAATAACTAGAACTAGCCATTGTGAGACTGCCGAGATTTACAAAAAGTTTGGAAAATCCAAAAGTGCACGCCTCATAATCTCATTTTTGACAGTAAAATTGATTGAAACAAAATAAGAAAAAAACAGCAAACTCTGCTATGGTTTAATGGCTATATGACGCCATAATTCTTAAAATTTATGTACAGATTTACAAATACATTGTCATATCTTAGTTTTTTATAAATAATAAATTAAACGATAAATTCATCAACACAGACACACGGAGGACCAGGAAAGATTATTTTTAATATTATTATTTACAATTATTAAACATTATTTCTAAGATCGGTGATTTTACTTATTAAAGAGCATTTATTATTGTAAGCCAACTTTCCCGATCAAGTTTGATGGTAGACTATGTAAATTTTTATCTATTAATGATTACATTACAATATTGTCGGTATGAGCACTCATACCATCCTCGGATGAATATATATAATAATTAAAAATTTTTTAAGACAATTTTAATGAGAATTATATAAAGATGTTGTTATCATACTCAGTGACTCTTTTTCGGCAGCCGAAAAAATAATTATTTACAATGTTAAACAAAATAATTGTTATCGAGATTTATTTTATGTGCCTGACAGATTATGTGACTTCATATAAGTGCGCTCATATTATCCTGTAAGTGCGATAGAGGTAAAAAAAAATTAGGAGAACGGTTGACCCTAAAGGCCATCCCTGCAACTTCCCGCTAATTCCATACTTAAGGTATTACCCTCGCCAGAGGCGTTTTCTTAGGAATTTTTTTAAATTTTGGCAGATTAATATTCATATAATTCTGCATCGATTGACGCAAATTGAAATTTTTTGACCATCTAGTTTCAGAGATATTTAATTTCAAAGTTCGAATTTTTAGAGGAGGTTATGCACTGTGATATACGGGATACCGAAAATTTTACTCGTATATTTTATTATAACTAAGAAACTTTTTTTAAGATTTTTATAAAAAACTAAACTTCTATTAAAAAACAGCTATTATTTGTTTTTTTCAAACTTTCATTGATTTTTACCATCTTGATTTTTAAATATTATTAAAAAATAACTGTATTATTCAAAAATAACCATGAGTAGAAGTGAGTAAGGAATATCAAGTGAGAAAGACAAAAATATCCTAAACTATACCCAAATTTACTCGCACTATATGTCGCGAGGGTAATACCTTAAGCGCTCAAAATTGGATTTATTAGGTTTCCTTAATTTTTTTTTTTTTACAATCTCTCTCAATTTCGTCTGGGTGTACATGAAAAGTCCGTAAAAAAAGGGGGAGATAAACTTTACGGCCTAGGATGTAAAAAAAGACGGTATGATAGTCTCTGGAAAAGAGTCCCTTTACGAACGCCTCCCAGCGCTCAAAAATTGAACTTTTGAAGCAAGTGTAACAAAAAATTATTTTTTATTTTAAGCTTCAAAAATAGATTGGAAAATTATTAACAATAAGTTAGTTGGAAAAAAATTACTGGCAAGTATTTTTTATTAAGACCATCGTTTGTTCTGATGCGTGATTAGCGAAGAAAAAAACTAATCGAAGACTGTATTACCGGCATTCGGCCAGCAAAAAAATTGAGTATCATATCAGCACTCTTCTAGATATATTTAGAAATAAATTTTTACATGAGGCTGCTTAAAGAGTAAAAAATTTCTTCGTCCGCTAAAAAAAAATAATTCATTTCAACTGAACAAAATAATCTTGAGCTGCAATTTCCATTCCACAAGTTCATTTAAGGCAGATAAGAAGATTAAGGAGATTAAATATTGAATTGAGTTAAAATATTGATTTTTTCATGAGAAATTGTGTTTGAACGTTTCTAAAGACTTGAAAAATAGATACTATAGACTATTACAATCAGATGTTTCTGTATTAAAATGTCAATCTAAAGATTGAAAAGTATATTTAGTTTGACCATTCAATTTTTTTTTTTTTTCAATAATGTACAGTTTACTTCATTTTTATGCTTTTTATGGATTTTCAATGTGACTAAATCTAATGAAATAGTAAAGTTGATTCATAGTAATAAGCAATTTTAGAATATTAACAAGTTATTGGTTTATTCAAGCCATTCTATTTAAACTAAAGCAACGTAGAACGAGAGCTTTGTAATATTCCTTTATTTTGACGTCCAAGTGCATCACAACTGTCCCTATATTGATGTGAAAATAGTCTGCCAGGTCAAAATAATAATCATAGTTTTTCGAATACACTGAGTACATCAGTCAATAGTTACCTGCAACGTTGCTAATTGCCGGTCGCTAAGGAGCAATAAAAAGCATGCAGGCTTCAAGTTAGATACTAAAATTTCACCTATATTTGGTTTGCATTACAAATTCACTTTTACGATCCAGTTTGTTGGGACGACAAAGCCACGTTGCTTAGGACGTGGCTAACCCAGTTGCGTTTTTTATTCCTAAGCAGGAAGACGTGCTTCAATATTCGACACACTGCAAAATTCAGTGTATTAACTAGTCATCTAGGTTTGAATAGTTTTATCATGTGGGTGATGAGAGCTACTTTGTATTGTTCTCTCTTGTTTATCTGTAATGTGTCGTGTAATGATATAAAAATTATAAAACAGACCGGAATTTCTTCGCACCTTCATCGCGACGCGGTAAGTTTTTCAATACTTTCAATAATCAACAGTGATTAACGAATTTATTTTCAACTTTAGAAAGAGTTGGTTGAAATGTGTTTTGAGAGTAATTCGAATCCAGTTTTTATCTCTGCGGATCTACTAAGCAAAGATTGGGATCCAGGCGGTAATTCGTGGGTTGTGATTGACCATAAATTCCAGAAACAGGCTATGGGCTTTAATTCAGCTTATCCAACATACGTACTCTCATTTGAGTCTATTGGTTACTTGAAAGTAGCTATTAACCATTTTCGGAAATCGACTGCATGGAGCATCAAGTCTCCATTTTTGATCGTTGAAAGAAAATCATCTTGTTTGAGTGCTGGAGAAGTATTGCAATTCATGTAGAAGCAGGATCTATTGGCCGTCTATTACCTGTGTAGTCATCAAGATGCGACGATTGTTTTCACGTTGAATCCATTTGCAACCCACCCCCCAGCACCGTGGGTTTTTGTTCTCGAATTCAGCGATAATAGAAAGAAATCGACCCTTTACGCTATGGAATATACAAAAGGTAAATTAATGATTTCGAATATTTAATTTTTTAATATTTTTTTTTTTTTAACATAACCAAGTCGGACGCAAAATTTCCATTAGTCGTTTTAATCTTTCCGAGTAGGTACTTTTTTCTGTTTTGACCAAAATTCGATTAAATTTTTTTTTCAGACAGCAATATTTGCAGAAAGTTAACTTTCGATAAGACTAAAAAATTGAATGGTCATGAGGTGAAGTTAGCAACTTTTCTAGATATCAAAAACATCCCTCACAAAAATTTGTCTTCTGAAATGACTGAGTATTTGAAGGAAATGAAACAAAAAGGATCAATGACAGTATACGAAACATTATCGCTGATGGAAGCCAAGGACAACACATGGTTTTTTTCTTCTTCGGCTAAAATAACATCTTTTAAAAACGGATACTTTAGACAATTAGCCGATAAAACGATTGATGCTCTGGACAAATCGTTCCAGCTAGCTGACACCAACTTCAAATACATGGATATTTTAACACGGTATGACGTTATTAGTTACTCAATCCTAACGAAAAAATCGAACTATTTGACGACGATCAGTCAAGTTGCTTGCAATTATCAATTCCTGTTCCTAACAATCATCATGTTAATGTTGATTGGGATGATAATCATAATTAACAATAAATTTGACATCAGTAGCGGTATCTTGGATGTTATGAGTCTGACAGCAGGCATGGGAGTGATCACACCTCTTGACAGGTTGTCGATGCGGATAATTTACATCTTCGGGTTCTTATTTGTCTTCACTGTAATGCCTGAATTCCAAGGTCAGGTGTCTGCTATACTGTCGGAACCGTTGAGGCGCAACGTCGAGTCATTAAAAGACCTTCATGACAACAACTATCATGTTTACTTCGATGCAAAATTAGTGAGAGACATAGTCAAAGAAAAATTGTGGGTAACTGATGAGGACATGCAGTACTTGCACCCATCTAATTATTCTGAGCTAAACAAATGTGCGGTCGAGGCGGAGTTTAACTCTACGGTTGCTTGTATTTTATTTCGTAGTACACAACAATGGTATGCATCGATAACAACGAACTTGCATGTATCAAGAGACGTTATTTTCGAAAAGTATTTCGTCAATTGGGTCAGAAAAGATTGGAGTCTTAAAGACAAGCTTGATAGAGTCAGTTCTTGGACGACTGAATTAGGGTTCCATTATGGTCGGTTATCTCAAAGTTTTAAGTATTATACAAAAAAACTCAGAGATATCAAACGGATTGAAGAGCGAGCTAGTTTTGAATTTATTGATTTCGATACCTTAATATTGAGCTACATGATCGTTCTTGGGCTTTCAATATGGGGACTGGTTGCCTTCGGGCTAGAGCTGCTTTTTCACAATTATGAAAAACGTCGCAGGCAAACTCTGATCAGAAGACGATTTCGTATGGAACTCAGATCGCAGTTGAGGAATGTTTCTTCTATTGAGCAGATTATTCCGTCCAACCCTAGAACCTCTTTTGGTGGTTAAAAATATTTAATGAGCATATTTTAACGTAGTAATTCTTAAATATTAGTAGTCGTTGCTTAGTTGTGTGTTTGCTATGGTCACTTTAATTCTTGGTATCTTGAAGTGTGTAATTACAAAGAAATAAAGTTCGATAATAGCCAAAATATCAAAAATTTTTGAACGTACCTGGCGTCTGATTAAATTGATAAAAATTTATTCCAAAACTCTAAAGCTGACGATAGAATAACATTTAGGTGTGATTTCTACAGCTTAAATAAATTAATTACCATAAAACAAAATAATAACATCAAGTTACGATCTGTCAGACACATTTTTCTTTAAAACAATAAAAAATTTTCTTATTTAAATTGAACAAGAAAATTCAAAGGAATTAAGGTGTAAAGTTAAATTTCAAGAGAATTATCGTCTGCAGACTTGAGAATGTACGTGTAAGCCATTATAACCTGTTGTTTAAGTATCAAAATCGCAATTAATTGATATAGAAGTATTTTGAGTTCAGCTATTGATCATTTTAGTTTATTATTATATATAGTTTATTTTATTTTTATGTTTTCAAGAAATTGAAACGCCATTAAATGCAATGAAATCAAAAACTCCATTTTTAATTATAGAAAATTTATCAATTTTTACGATTTTTTTTTTTCAAGCTAATTCTAATTCGTTCAAACTAAGTACAAGTTGAAAAAGATGTTGTGATGATTCTTTATTTTCGTATCCAGTGTATTATAAATGTCTATGTAAGAATATGATAATACTCTGCTACGCGAAGATAATAGTAATCATACCTATTCGACTATACTGAGTACATCCATTATTGATAGCTATCTGCAATGATTAGTTGTTCATTACGTGTGGTTAGGGAGCAATAAAAAACTTGCAGGCTTCAAGTTAGATGCTAAAATTTCACCTATATTTGGTTTGCATTACAAATTCACTTTTACGATCCAGTTTGTTGGGACGACAAAGCAACGTTACTTAGGAAGTGACTATCCCAGTTGCGTTTTTTATTCCTAAGTTAGCTGCTAAAAATTCAGTGTATTAACCAGTTATCTAAGTTTGAATAGTTTTATCATGTGTGTGATGAGAGCTACTTTGTGTTGTTGTCTCTTGTCCATCTGTAATGTGTCGTGTAATGATATAAAAATTATAAAACAAACCGGAATTTCTTCGCACCTTTGTCGCGACGTGGTAAGTTTTTCAATACTTTCAATAATCAACAGTGATTAACGAATTTATTTTCAGCTTTAGAAAGAGTTGGCTGAAATGTGTTTTAAGAGTAATTCGAATCCAGTTTTTATCTCTGCGGATCTAATAAGCAAAGATTGGGATCCCGGTGGTAATTCGTGGGTTGTGATTGACCATAAATTTCAGAAACAGGCTATGGGCTTTAATTCAGCTTATCCAACATACGTACTCTCATTTGAGTCTATGGGTTACTTGAAAGCAGCTATTAACCATTTTCGGAAATCAACTGCATGGAGCATCAAGTCTCCATTTTTGATCGTTGAAAAAAAATCATTGTGTTCGAATGCTGGAGAAGTATTGCAATTCATGTGGAAGGAGGATCTATTGGCTGTCTATTACCTGTGTAGTCATCAATATATATACAACGACTGTTTTCAAGTTAAATCTATTTGCAACCCACGCTCCAGCACCGTGGGTTTTTTTTTGGATTTAGCGATAATGGAAAGTTATTGACCCTTTGTGGTATGAAATATACACAAGATAAATTATTGATTTTATACACTTAATTTGCTGTCACTCGAAAAAATTGAAACCTGACTTTTTACGGCTTTGATTTTGTGTTAAGTAAATTTTTAACTTCCCGCAAAGAAAATTAAAAATTTTCAAAAAATAGGAAAGTTATTGGTTTAACCCCGATTTTCGAAAATCGAGTTTTCAGCTAGGAGTGTGTGCGTGTGTGTAAATCTTTTATAACTTTTAAACGGATCATTCGATTCGATCGAATTAAGCGGCGTTTTCTGATACTAGTTCAAAGAATTGGAGTCAATAAATTTTGAGAAATCTCAAAAATAAATTTTCCAAAAATTCGATTTTTTTTTTAAATATCTTCCGAACGGCTCAACTGATCAATTTTAAAAATCAGCTTTTAACCTCATAGAATCACGTCGATCGCCACCGGCTCGGGCGAAATCGGTTGATTCGTTCGTGAGATAGAGGAGTGTGGGGTCCCCCCGGTCACCTAAGAAGTGAATTTAAAAAAATATTAAAATTATCATTTTGGAATAATAAAAAAGACTTTAAATGCAATTACTAAAAAATATAAGTATGAAGATAAATAAAAATATTTGAGGAATTATAGAAATAATGAGTTTGACTGGGGTGACCCAACGTGTTGGGTCACCCCGGTTATTAGGCAGGTCGCTCCGGTCAGTATTAATTTTATTTTAAAAATTAGAAATTCCGAATTATATTGTTAAAATTTAATAAAAATTTAAAATTAATTTTTTTATTGAAACTTTAGCAGCAAATAACATTAAATATTGGTAATTTTGAACATTTAAACTTTCTGTTTTTTAACTAATTTGCGTTTTTTAGGCCATACTTTATATTTATCCGTCGCACGAGTGAAAGTTATTCGTTTCCTTGAATTCTTTCTAGGTTCTTCTGCTGACTTACTTGTTTGGAGTTCTTCATTAACATTATCGGACAATTCAACTGGCTTCTTTTGTGATTTTTTTTTAAATTAATTACAAAATAGTGGTTAGTTTTAAATAAACACACGAGCTGTCAAACAATAAACAATTGAATAAACTGACCGGTATTACCCCACAGCTTTGACCGGTATGACCCCAACCGATAGTTGAAAAAATAAACTTTATTCAAAAGAAAACGATTAATAATTACAGTATAATAAAAATTCCCACTTATAAAGGAAGATTTATAGATTATATACATAAAAATTATAAATTTTTATCTTGCTGTAAACTATATTAAAAGCCTTACGGAAATGATTCCGATTCTTAGATCAAATGGGAATCAATTTTTTAATTTTTAATTATTACTAATAAATACTATATTTCTAAGTTTTGAATCTATTTTTTACTCTCAGCTGAATAAGCGTACAAAATAAAACAAAATTCAAAATTTAAGGTATAGTAGATTTTTTTAAATGTTGGTGACCGGGGCGACCCCAAGCTCCCCTATCGTTGTCGAAAAAAATTGGAAAAAATCTTTTTTTTCCGAATTTATATGAAATTTTCAGTCTAACCAATTTGAGCTTAAAGCGCGTGCTAAATCCCAAAAGGGCGTATAAAAATTTTATCTAACTGCTGTAATACGCCCTTTTGGCATTTATCACGCGAAAGATTCTGAAAATAGCTCAAAAAACTGCGTTGAATGCCGTAAACTGCGAGAAAATCGGTTAATTCATTTAAAAGTTATTGCAGTTTGAAAATTCAAAAAATAGAGTTCTATGAAACTTCTATCAGACTTTTGAGCTCGAAGAGCTCAAAATAACACAAAAACTATATTTTTGAGCTCGAAGAGCGCTTAAGTATGGATTTAGCGGGAAGTTACAGGGATGGCCTTTAAGGTCAATCGTTTTTTTTTCCCAGATTGCTAGGAGGGTTGGAATCGTGGGTATGGTTGCGTGTCAATTTTTTGAAACTAAAAATAATTATAAACGTCTTATAAAAAAATGAATAATAAAAATATTGACAGCCTATTGTTACGACACTTGAAAAATTACCTTAAATTCAAGCTTTTAGACCAGAATACCCGTTTAATTTTGATAAATTAAAAAAATTTTATTTTATTAAATTTTCAATAAAACAAAACATGAATATTGATAAAAATGTATTGTAAAATGTTATAAAAAAGTAAATAATCTAGAATAACAAAAAAAAGAAAAGCAATATAGCAAATTGATAAAGTACGACGAGGCATGGCATGTTCATTGTCCGGCTTCACATATGAACCACATGAGTAATATTGCTGTGTATAACTTAGTGATGCCTCAACAATGGGACGGTTCAGTGCGGTGACTCCGGTGCATTTGATTATTGCATCGTTCGGTGTCCGCTAAAGATTGACGGAAATGCGGTCGAAGGATTGAATTTCGTAGATTCCTGGTTCTATTTGTAAAAGCTACCACACATTGAACAATTTTGATTTAATTAATAAAATAAGTACACTGTGATAAATAATTTAAAGAATTGAAAACACGGATAAAAGTAAAAGGACATAAATAAGAGTTTTACGATGGAGTTTGAGTATAAAACGACAAGAGGGTGGAAAAGAATGGCTGAAATAAGGGTGGTAGGAGAAAATTCCGTGCGTCGTTCAAGGCGGAGATTTACCTCGCGTGCCAAGTATTAAAATATCGCGTCGTCGCCTCGCGGATGGCGCATTCGAAAATTCCTCATGTACCTATAAGCGACGAACGATGAACGAGACGAGAACTACGACGAGTTACGGATCAGGAGGATGAGGGTTGTGCAAAAGGGGTGAATTCGCACACGCCAGGAAGCTGGGCGGAATTGTGGGAGGATTTCACCTGCGAATATACCGTCAGGATTGTACGGGACACATTCCCAACGAATTCTTCTTATCGAACGGAATCTCCGGAACTCTATGGAAGATATTATTATTTAGATATTGCTATCAGGATGACATGATAATGTAGTTGGAGAAACTTTTGAATCCTTCAAATACCTTTTTCTTCAATAATTGCCAACAAAAATATGAATTATTAACATTTTTATTTCTATTTACAGTTTTTTTTTTTCTTTTTTCAACTACACTGAGAAAAAAAAATTAATTCTTTAAAAATGACCAATTTTTTAATGAAAAATTAATTTGTTAAAAATTTTTTTATTTTATTTCTTAGGTGAAGAAATAAAAATTTTTGGTGATTATTTACCAGTGGGTCAACACATACTGGGCCATGTTGAATTTTCTTTTTTTGATCAATTTTTTTTTTTAATTGTTCGTTGTTTTATGTGCTTTTTAAAAAAAGATAAAATAGAAATTTCATCCAAAAACATGACAGCCAATTTTTTTCCAACTTTTAAAAACAAAAAAGCTATCGAAATCTTTATTTTTTCTTTCACGACATTTTTTATTATATAAATGCTCCGTAAAAACAAGCAGAATAAAAAAAATTAAAAAATGTTAATTTTTCACCTAGTTATGGCCCAAAATGCAGTTGACCCCACTTGTAAATAATAAACGAAAAAATTTATTTTTAAAAAATGAACAAAATTATTTAACAAGAAATTGATTTGTTAAAAATTTTTTTATTTTATTTCTTAGCTCAAGAAAGAAGAAAATTTTTTCACAGTAACTTTTTTGTTGAAAAAAAGTTTTTTGGATATGGACAAAAAAATTTTAGATAAACTTGCAAAATTTATTATTTAGCTAAAAAACAAAATTATTAAAAATTTTCAATAAAACAATTTCTTATTACAAAATTGTGTATTTTTTGAAAAACTGCAACAGTTTAAAACTTTTACACTTAAATAAGAAATTTTTTTTGAAAAAAATGAACATTTTTGTGACAAGAAATTAATTAGTTAGAAATTTTCAACAATTTTATTTCTTAACTGAAGAAATGAAAATTTTTTTATAAAAAAAAAAATTCTCCTAGATTTGGGAAAAAAACAATTTTGGATGAAAATTTTCAAGTTGTCTATCTAAAATTGTTTTTTTCTAAATCTAGAAAACTTTTTCCCAACAAAAAAATTCAGCTAAGAAATAAAATTTTCAACAAATTAATTTCTTGTCACAAAAATGCCCATATTTTTCAAAAAAAATTTATTTTCTTTCATAGTTATGATAAATTGTTAATTAAAAATCAAACCCTTGTACAATTTTTTTTTGGCTTTTTTTATAACATGACATTTTTATAATAAATAATTAATTTGTTAAAAAATTCAAACAAATTAATTTATTATTACATTTTTCTTCAAAAAAAATTTATCCTCTCAGTATATATTTAAATTTTTATTAAAATTATAATAACTATAAAAAATTCATGAAATTCCTCATTAATAAATTATCAAAAAAAATTTCACAATATCTTCCATTACTTAAAAAAAATCAAAAGTATGTAATATTATATATATCGGTCGCCTATCACTAGATTGTTGAAGCGACCTCAATTAAAAAAAAATAAATTACATCTGAATAGAAGCTTTTGATCAATCCCTCTCTCTGATTTTTAATTAACAATTTACTCTCCGATAAATTGACAAGTTGTATAAGAAAAATCTCTTAAACCTTTTCATTTATACTTTATTTCATGACGATACCATTGTACAATTATTTTTTTCAAACATCCTATATTGAGTACTTTTTATTTTACACTAGACAGTTTTTAGTTGAATAAGTCTTTAAAAGTTTACTGGGTGCATTAATTTGGCCGTGAAGTTATTACGTGGTTTAATAATATTAATACTCCAAAATTAATTTATATTTGTGAGATTAAAATTACTGATTATCAGTAACAATTATATATAAATTTAACGTTTTTCTATAAAAATTATTTTCAATAAATTACTTTTCATTAAATTTTTTTTCTATTAAATTTCCACACACAAGTATCATCCTTTTGGATTTAACAATTTAAATATTCACACAATTTTTTGAATATTGACCAAAGTCTTTTCCAAGCACCATAAATCGGATCCAATAAATTACCAATATACTATTTAAATACAATAAAATCCATACAACTGAATAAAATTGCATTAATATTAAAATAATGGCGATTTTATTTTTTTTTTTGTCTTGTATTTAAAAAATTGCTACTCAGATTTTTAAATGTTTAAAATTAGCAAGTAATAAAATTTTATTAAGTTAAATCATGACACACGAGTAAAAATTTTTTATTACATTTGTCTTTTTCGACAGATATGTATTTTAAGTAATTTTATTTTCTGTTCTTCATGTTAAATCTTCAATTTTATTACTTTTTATAAATCCTTTTATATATAACAATTAATTTCTTATTATCACTTTACCCTTTTCAATCACATGATTAAATAGTACTTTATATCACGCCAAATTACACTTTAATTACAATAGATATTTAAACTACGTTAAATTATCTTACAAAATAATTCTAAAAATTTATAACAATAATAAATAAATTTTTAAAATAAATTTAAAACATTAATATCATAGAAAATTTTTACATAAAATTAAAATTATTATAATGTTCAATTAATAAAATTAATCGATGGATGACATCATTTTTAATCAATGTTATTACTGTATACTTTAATCGGATTACAAAATATAGTAATAAATACGGAAAAATACAATCATAAAATAAATTCATAGAAATAATTTAAACAAACAAATAGCGGAAACTTATAAATTTAAATATTTCACGTGCCAAAAGGTAAAAGGGCGTATAATTTTTTTTTCGACGCATAAAAATCAATTATTGATTCTTCAAAGCTAAAAGGGCGTGAGTTTTTAATTTTGCGCCCTTTAAGATTTAGAAATTTCAAAATTTTAAAGCTAAAAGGGCCTAGAAATTTTTAAACCTAAAAATTTTTTAAAATAGTACAGTCAAAGTTAGATTTAAGGCATAACTTATATTTATTTAGGTTTTTTAATAAAAATTTTTTACTTAAGAAAAAAAAAACAATAACTAAACATGTAAAAATTATATAAATTTATAACAACAAACAATATCTGATACAATTAAGCAAAACTCGAGAGGAATTGTAAACGGATAATACATTTAATTACAATAGCACTTACAATAATCCAATTGCCAAGAACTAATGTACAAATTTAAATATGTCAATACCCGTGTAAAAAAAAATCGTCTTTAAACTGTCTTAAAATTATCTTAAATTAGTCTTAAAAAAATTAAAAAAAAAAAATTTAGACTATTTTAAGATAGGCTAACAGCGACAGAGCCCTAAACATTAAATCGGAATGTCTTAAAAAAGCCTTAAAATTGTCGGATAATAATTTTTTAACAATTTTAAATTCAATTTAAAAACATCTTGCTCAAAAATATTGCGGTTAGAAAGTCGTAAAATCGTCTAAAAATTAATTTTCACAACAAATTCGAGTACCAAATTTTCAAAAATCTGCTCTCGGAATGTTTTTTTTTTGGCGTCTTAAAAGAGTCTTAAAATAGTCTTAGTTTGTGTTACGTTTGAGATTTTAAACGAACGACAATTTTAAGACGATTTTTTTTTACACGGGTAAAATTTTTTTATAAGATATTTATTAATATTTTAAGAATACATGGAAATTAATTTAGCAGATATTTAATAATTTTAAGAATTTTTTAAATAAATAAATTACTGCATAAAAAAAAATTGACATTTAGAAAATTTAATAAATTAAAAATGTAATTTTTTAGAAATAATTTTTCGGAACAAATTTTTTTGTTAAATTAAATTAAAAAACGGTTGAGTGACAACTAACTTCAGTATCATCAAGAATACAGAAAAAAAAATCAAAATTCAAAAAGTTAGCAACCCTTCTAACAATCTAGGAAAAAAAAGATTATTAATTTAAATTGATGCCGCTACCGTACTAACTAAAAAAAAAAAGTTTAAAAAAAAATTTTTTTCACAAAATGGCAACTGCCTGAAAAAAAAATTAATTTTTGTACCACTTTTTTTGAGTTTTCCGAATTTTTTAAAAATAGTAAATATTTAAATTTGGGGATGAGGACAGTTCATGCGATAGAGAAGTCTACAAAGAAGACTTACACCAAATTTCAAATAATACGGTTCAGTAGAACTTGAGAAATCGTGGGTATTGTTTTAAAAAAGACAGTTTCAAGAAAAACGCGTTTAAAGTTTCTCGCAGTCTAGTTCCGGTCGGGCCGGTTTAGATGCCATCTCTCCGAAAATAATTTGAATTTTCTAAAATCCTCCTAAAGACATATTCTTAAAGGGTTAAGCTTTGAAAATATAAATAAAAGAATCAATTTTTTCAAATTTCTAGACCAGAATAGCCCTTAAAATAAAAATTAGAAATATTTAAAAAAAATTACAAAATATGCGCAATTGTATTAATATTTTTTATTTCAAAATTTTATATTCAGAAACTGAGTAACCGCGAAACTGAACAATTGTTTTCATATTGCTCCTTTATAATAATTGAGCTTTGTATACTAGACTATTTTTTGGATCTAACTTGTCTTGTACAACTATTTTTCAAAATTTTGAATTAAAACTTAAATATTTTATGCGCTCTTTTAGCTTCAAATACTAGTTTTCTTAAAGTTAAAAGGGCGCATGTCTCGAAGTACGCCTTTTTAGCTTCAAGATGCTCGAATATTTTTTGGTAATTATTTACAAGTGGCAAACCTATTTTTGGCCATAAAAAATAGATGAATTAATAGATCATCATAATTTTTTTTTTTACTTTTTTGTTTTTACGGCGGATTTATGGTGGTGATATCGTAAATATCAAAAAATTATATTTAAAAGTTGAAAAAAATTTTGGATCTCATGTTTTTGGATAAAATTTCTATTTTATCTTTTTTTGATATATTTTTTTTTTTGAAAAGTAAATAAAAAAACGAACAATTAAAAAATAAAAAAGTTGAATATCACAATTTTCTAAAAAGTTTATAAATTTTTTTGAAAATTTGTTAAAATTTTGATAATCAACTTTTTTTTTTATGTATTTTTCAAAAAAAAAGAATTTATCAATAAAATCAAATAGAAATTTCGTTCAAAAAAATGAAATTAAAATCGTTAACCCCACTAGTAAATATTTACCTATTTTTTTACAGATCTTTGTGTTTTTAATGATTTAAAAAAAATGGCAAAAAAAAATTTTTGTGCGCCCTTTTAGCATTGATCCCTACTAACTTTTAGCAATGCGCCCTTTTACCTTTTTACATTATCTGTACATAAGAAGTAATTTTTACAGTCAACGTGCATTTTTATTACATTTTACTAGATCGAATGTTATATTTATACAAATTCTAACGAATTAAACATTGATCTTTGAGTATTGACAGAACGACAAAAGTACTTATTACAAATTAATATTAGTAATTTTATCTCTTGCGTAAAAAAAATCCAAGTCTATATACGTATTATTTTTTTTACATGCAACTATTAATAATAATAAATTTTTAAATGCATTTATATTTATTATTATTATTATTATTATTATTATATCCTAAAGATATATTTGTTATCTTGTTAATTAAATTTTCCTTATGCCGACTAGACTGCATGAGTAAAACGACTAGATGTCTTATTGCACTCGTAGTTTCCGCGCACTTTAAATTAGCTAATTAGTATAAGTTATTTATTTATGAACTTAAAAAAAAAAAAATTTATTTGTAATAATGCACGGCATTCATTTTAATTAGTAATTATCTAATTATGAATATCAAGATTGTTCATCACGTTTTAAATTCAATTTATAACTTACTTAGACATGATTATTATTCTTACCCCATGATTATCAGTATAAATCTCTATTCAGAGGTATAACAAGAAAAGGCCTTATCACGTTCAACATCATCAGATCAGTGCCCATTGCCATTTTATTTTATTTTATTTTTTTATTTAATTATTAATTTATTATTGTTTTTATTTTTATTTACTTTGGAAGCATTCAGATACGAGATTGGCAAATAAGTTTGTTATAAACGGTAGCATATCTAGTAACGAACATCAAGGCATCAGGCACTTCAAGATGAAATTAATAAAGTAAATTTAAAATATAATGACAATTATTTATTCGTCGATTAATTACAATCATTAATCAACCTTAGTGGCGGGTAATCCATATCCTACTATTAATTGTTCTTTTGGAAAATCCATTATTACAGTCACATGGAAACCCATATTCGCCGATGCAATAATATATTCACACAGTGAAAACCAACTAAATGCTGTGGAGAAAAAAAAATATAATAAATAAATATACTTATCAATTTATCATGTACACGGAAAGAACAAGATTACATTGGATAACATTCCATATTATGCTTAGTGAAATCTGTAGTGAAAAAAAATTTTAGATAGTAGCTAGTGTAATCCAGATTATACTGAGTGATATTTGGATTATACTCATTGTAATTTTCCATTTCGCCTAGTAAATAAAATTTCTAATAAAATCTCAGATTATATAGCGTAAGATTCCAATGGATATAATCCGAGATTGTATCTTGCAAAATCTTGGATTATACCCAGTGATATATCCGCGATTTTTTTTTTTTCTAGCGCCTGCGCACTTAGCATTATCATACGACCATGAACAGGTCAGATCTTATTGTCAAAATTCTAAATGAAAAAACATGCCTTGTACATTATTTTTACATATCTTGTAATTTTAATAATTACTAGCAACCTTGCAGTCTCTATGTGACTGCCGTGACTTGTAAACTATAAATAAATAACATTTTGCTTTATTAAATAATGACTTTTGTTAAATTGCACTGTATTTTCTTAACTATTGATGTTTTTAAAGATATAAGCTCATCCCGATGTTACATTCATCAAGAGCTTTCATTTGAGTACCCATATGCATTTTTATATATTTTTCATGTATACATATATACATGTATACTTAATATATATGAAATATATGAAAAATTGATGTGAGTACTCAAATGAAAGGTCTCGATGAGTGTAATGTCGGGGTCAGCTTATATTATTAAAAATGTCAATAGTTCACAAGATATAAGGTCATTTCTTAATTATGTATCTAGAGATAGAGCATTTTCAAATGCAGCCTAAATACTTATCATCATAAATTGACTATTGGTGAGAATGACATGAAACCTTGAAAAGCCACAAATTCAAGCCAAGACCTTTGTAATGACACTAAATTTCACTAACAAAACCTATTTTATCATATGACTATCCTGGCGACATAATTTTTCTTATTCTCTTAATAATCTAAATATAGCGGCTATAAAACATATTGTTACATAGCACAAAATATAAATGTTCACTCAGTAATTAATGCACCGATTATATTTTTTTAATGTTCAATATACTGATGATTGACTATAATTCATAAATTATACTAGCTACTATCTAAAATTTCTTTTCACTACAGATGTTACTGAATTTAATCTGAGATTGTTATTTAGTGTGATTTTGTTCTTTCCGTGACATTATTGTTATTTAATTTTGGTTAAAAAATAGTTTTAATTACCTAAATCATGGCAAAGTAAACGGTGTTTCAAAAAAAATATTATAAGGCCAATTGTACTGACAATACTGGTAGTAAATAAAATTTGTTTATAATGAAGACTTTGTGCGTTAGGTGTTAGTAAACGACCCAGTTTGACTGCTGCCAACATGTACGTCAGTGAACTGACCATGAACATTATAAAGATTTTTTCATGAGCATCTGAAAAAAATTCATTAGATTATATAGATTATTTATTTTATAACAAGAAAAAAAAAAAGATAATTATTTCAAAGTATGGTTGATGATATTTCAACCCATAAAATAATTGAAAAAAAATTTTTTTACATGCAGAATATTAAAAAAAATAAACTAGAAGTTATGAACAATTTTTAATTGCAATAACACTTTTATCAAAATAAATACCTTCAAAACTCGTGATAAAATTTATTTTTAACTATTTTAATAATTGAAATAAATGCGTTGTGAAATAGAAAAATTAAAAGATAAAAAATTTTAAGAAATCATTCTGGTTTGTAATTTTCAAAAAAAAAAAATTTTTTTTTTTTTCATTTTTTGAAAGTATATATAGGGTAAATGTTCCAGTAGTTGACCGGTCACCAGTAGTTGACCGCTTTCATAAAAAAGTCCGAAAATTATTATTAACTGCATTTTTTATGACCCTGAAATTTATTTTTAACTATTGTTGAACTTATAATCATTACAATAAATAGGTATTCCAGATTTTATTTAATTTTTAGAACATCGAAAATAATTCATGAAAATTTTTCACCGCATAATCTGACTCAAATCGGTCAAATACTATAGTAGAGTATCCGAGAGGCGACTACATGTTTTAGTTAACAAAAAAGTTTCTATTAGGTTAATCTTGCCAAATTAAATTCTGAAGTAGTCTTTAATAGTTTCTTAACAAATCTCTCAATAAATTATTAGTAATAAAGAAGTATTTATGCTTATTGTTTAAATTAATGTGTTTCAAATAAGATGATTGTTGAGTCAAGTTTAAATTTGTACACCGATAGATTTATTAGCTATTAATATATTTAATTTAATTTATTTAGGAGAAAAGAGTACATTTGTTAATAGTTAATAAGTATTTCTTTATATTTAACCAATATTTATTAACAGTTAATAAATATTTTGTTAAGTGAATTTGTGTTTCGCTTGCAATGTCATACTTGTGTTATGAAGATTGCTTATAAACAAAAATCATCTTTACAAATTATTTACATTAATTACATTATTTTATAATAACGTTTACTGTAACATAACAAATTTTATCACAGCTCATAATTATCTTTTATATTTTAAAATATTAAGAACGTTAATTTATTTAGTGAATTGAATTATTATCATGTATTAGCTGTAGGGTTATAAAAAGTGTCAAAAGAAAATTGCTATTTTTGCTTTTCATTTTAAATAAATATTTGTTAAAAGTTAACAAATATTCATTAACAGTTAATAAATCTATTTCATAAATAATTTATAAACTGTTAATAATTGCATACGTGTGCCTCAAAAAAATATTTTGCTTTTGTCATAATTGAATCGAAGTTTAATTTACTAATCTGTTGCTTTTTTATTATTATTAGTTTTGTTCTAAACTTAACGAATTTTGTTTACTAACAACACAAATCTAATTTAAATAAATAAGCATAAAAACTTTATACATTAAACATAAAAAACTAATTAAAATTTACAAAATAACCAATGTTTGATTAAATCCGGTCAATTTACTGGATCAAGCCGGTCAACTACTGGTGTTTTTATCTTACCTGCATTTAAACGTGAATTTATATGTAATTTTATTAATAATTATTTTAAATAACATCACATATCAAAAACTTGAATATTTAAGGTTCATATAAACTTAAAATTTTTAATTTTTAGCGTATAATAATTTAATTACGATCAATTGAAATGCCAAACATCCTTAATCGGTCAACTACTGGTGCATTTACCCTATTCAAAATTATCGTGTTAAAATTTTCAAGTGATCATGTGAATTTTCGAATGGAAGAAAATTAAATTTTTGAAAAAGCTAAAGAGACTTTGTACGGTACCCAGGTAAGGTTTTTTTTTTTTTAATTAAAAATACTTTAAACGCGTTTATCTCAGAACTATGTTTTTCTGATTGACGTACATGATATCTCCGGAATCACTGACCTGATCTTAATTAAATAGTAAGAGCTATTGCATCAGTTACAACCAAATCAAAATTTTGATTTTTGCTATTTTTTGGAACTAAAAACTGTGAAAAAAGTCGCATTTTCCAGTTTTTTTTTTTTTTAATTAATTTCCGCTATTTTGTTATTTATCAATAAATATTAATCTTCGTAACTGGTGCAATAACTACTTATATATTAGGAGTAAATAATTTTGGTTTTTTGTGTTTTAGATGACCCGTTATCAAGTTATCATGTACTTCAGCGACATACCAACTTTTGGAAGAGCTCCGTACACCCGTAGTTTATTCATATAATAAGGGTTAAAAAAAATAAAGTTAGATATTTTTAGTGTTATTCAAGAGTGTATTAGTTGAGCTGAATACATTTTATATTAATATCTATAATAGTTACTGTGTAAAAAATAATTAAAATTTGCTTCTTTCGAGCGCCGGAACCAAAATGATGCCTTAATTAATTTAATATGTTTTTACTATTTTAATATTTAGTAATTTTGTAAGTTCTAATCATTTTTGGAAGCATACTCGATTTATTATTGATAAAAATAGAATTTTCCGCGGAACTACTTTTCGTCAAATTTTTTTTTTCTATTGCAGTTTAAGAATAACGTTCACTAATAAATCTCGAAATTTCAAAATTTTTACCGTTTAAAAGTAAAAATCTTAAAACTATACTCTGTTTTAAATGGAAATTCTTATTTTCGATTTTTAAAAATCATAAATATGTCATTATGTTATAAAAATCAATTTAAAAAAAAAAAAAAAAACCTTTTTTTTAATATTTAACTAATTATAAAAAAATTATGAAAATTGAATTAGCTGACATCTGGAAATTTTTAGAATTTTTTTATTGAAAAAAATGATTAAAAAAAAATTTGAAAAATTCTAAATGCAATTTTTAAATAATATTTTTTTATTTATAATTATTATTGATTAAAAAATCAAAAACTGTCAAATGTCTGCTAATTTTAGTATCATAAAAAATTCTACATCAAGAAATTTAAAAAGATTACAAATGCAGTTTTTTTTTTATAATTAATTTATAATAAAAATAAAAATAATTGTCAGATGTCTGGTGAAATGTCTATTTTTGGAAATTTTACTGCCAAAAATAATTAAAACAATTGATACTAAAATTAGCCGATTTTAAACAATTTTTGATTTTTTTATCAATTAAATTACAAGTAAAAAAATACTTAAAAAAAATTGCACGTATAATTTTTCAAATTTTCTGTATATGAAATTTTTTATTTCAATTTTTTTTCAACAAAAAAAATTGTAAAAATTTTTATATATCGGCTTATTTAATTTATGAAAATTAAGTTAGCCGACATCTAATAATTAAAAAAAATTTTTTTATTCAAAAAAATTTTCATTTGTAAAAAACATGAAAAACTATGAGTGCAATTTTTTAAAAATATTTTTTAATTCTAATTTAATAAATGAAAAATAATCAAAAAATTAAAAATATCGGCTATCTTTAGTATTATTTTAATTTTTATAAAACAATTAACTAAAAAAGAAAGAGACAAAAATGAATGAACGAATCAATTATTTAAAATAACAATAGTATGTATAGTTAGATTTAGTATAAAACATCAATGACGATCCAGTTATCACATTAATAAACTCTAATCATCTGACAAGGTCTCATTGTTAAACCCGAGATAATCGTAGCTTTTACTTACAGTAATTTTCTCGATTAGATATATATGTTACGCCGCACAATGCAGCTATTTCAATGATGTTCAACCAAAAGCAGAGATTTAATAGTCTGCATCCGATTAATTTTTTTGGCAAATCTTCAAGGTCTGTTAAAATCTTACGGTAATACGAGTGGTAGACAGTTGCTATCACCAGCCGTGGTCCAATGTGTAATGCTATTGTTACACGCCATAAATATCTTTGTGGTGATACACCAGTTATTGCTGATATTGACGGTAGAACATTGTACACCTGTTAATCACGCAAATACCAATTAACCGTTAATAAGATACTATCGTTGTTGTTTTACATGATTTTTCAATAACTTGTTGTTAATAACTTTTATTACTCACCCGACAATGTGTCTCATGAATATCATCTTGTTGAAATATATAAGCAGTAACAAAACAAATCAATAATGTAACCAATGGTAAACATGCTGTAGCAATGCACAACTTTCTAAATGATATTGCCAAGTGAATTAAACTCTTGTTATTATTTCCCACATTATTAATCTCCATCGTTTTTTTATCCATTGATTTTTCGGAGCCCGAAAATTTATATTAATTTATTATTAAATAGACATATTTATTTTTATTCACTATAATATTTTGTTTCTTGATATTTAATCAAGGAAAAAAAATCATTTTTATAAATTTCATTTCTTCATCCTTCAGTTTGAACCTGTAAAAAAATATGACATTAAAGTAAGCAGTCATTTGACCATTTTTTGATTTTTTTTAACAAACAATTTTTATGAAAATAAAATTAACAGCTGACAATTTTCGGAATTTTTTTTATTAATAAAATTATCACAAAAAATTTAAAAGAAAAAATTCCACATGTAAAAAATTTCAAAAATTATACGTGCATTAAAACAATTGATACTAAAATTAGCCGATTTTAAACAATTTTTGATTTTTTTATCAATTAAATTACAAGTAAAAAAATACTTAAAAAAAATTGCACGTATAATTTTTCAAATTTTCTGTATATGAAATTTTTTATTTCAATTTTTTTTCAACAAAAAAAATTGTAAAAATTTTTATATATCGGCTTATTTAATTTATGAAAATTAAGTTAGCCGACATCTAATAATTAAAAAAAATTTTTTTATTCAAAAAAATTTTCATTTGTAAAAAACATGAAAAACTATGAGTGCAATTTTTTAAAAATATTTTTTAATTCTAATTTAATAAATGAAAAATAATCAAAAAATTAAAAATATCGGCTATCTTTAGTATTATTTTAATTTTTATAAAACAATTAACTAAAAAAGAAAGAGACAAAAATGAATGAACGAATCAATTATTTAAAATAACAATAGTATGTATAGTTAGATTTAGTATAAAACATCAATGACGATCCAGTTATCACATTAATAAACTCTAATCATCTGACAAGGTCTCATTGTTAAACCCGAGATAATCGTAGCTTTTACTTACAGTAATTTTCTCGATTAGATATATATGTTACGCCGCACAATGCAGCTATTTCAATGATGTTCAACCAAAAGCAGAGATTTAATAGTCTGCATCCGATTAATTTTTTTGGCAAATCTTCAAGGTCTGTTAAAATCTTACGGTAATACGAGTGGTAGACAGTTGCTATCACCAGCCGTGGTCCAATGTGTAATGCTATTGTTACACGCCATAAATATCTTTGTGGTGATACACCAGTTATTGCTGATATTGACGGTAGAACATTGTACACCTGTTAATCACGCAAATACCAATTAACCGTTAATAAGATACTATCGTTGTTGTTTTACATGATTTTTCAATAACTTGTTGTTAATAACTTTTATTACTCACCCGACAATGTGTCTCATGAATATCATCTTGTTGAAATATATAAGCAGTAACAAAACAAATCAATAATGTAACCAATGGTAAACATGCTGTAGCAATGCACAACTTTCTAAATGATATTGCCAAGTGAATTAAACTCTTGTTATTATTTCCCACATTATTAATCTCCATCGTTTTTTTATCCATTGATTTTTCGGAGCCCGAAAATTTATATTAATTTATTATTAAATAGACATATTTATTTTTATTCACTATAATATTTTGTTTCTTGATATTTAATCAAGGAAAAAAAATCATTTTTATAAATTTCATTTCTTCATCCTTCAGTTTGAACCTGTAAAAAAATATGACATTAAAGTAAGCAGTCATTTGACCATTTTTTGATTTTTTTTAACAAACAATTTTTATGAAAATAAAATTAACAGCTGACAATTTTCGGAATTTTTTTTATTAATAAAATTATCACAAAAAATTTAAAAGAAAAAATTCCACATGTAAAAAATTTCAAAAATTATACGTGCAATTTTTTAAAAATGTTTTTTTATTGCTAATTAAATTGATGAAAATTAAGTTAGCCGACATTTAAAAATTTTTACAATTTTTTTTATTGAAGAAAATTATTACAAAAAATTAAAAAGAAAAAATTGACTTGTAGAAAATTTGAAAAACTGTAAGTGCAATTAGAAAAAAAAATATATTTTAGTTCTAATTTAATAAATAGGCAAAATCAAAAAATCCAAAATGTCGGCTACTTGTATTATTATATTTAATTAATAAAAAAAAAAATAAAAATTTTTCGCTGTCGGCTAATTTTAATTTTATCAAATTTTCTCCAAAAAATTATTTTCAATAAATTGCATTTTTTATTTTTTTAAATTTCTACATGTCAATTTTTTTTTCTAATTTATTTGTCCAAAAAAATTATCAAATATCTGCTAAATTAAGTTTCGTAAAAAAATAATAATTAAAAATTTTTGACAGGTGTAAAAAAAAAATTTTTTATAGTCGTCATATTTTTAGAATTGATTATTTTTTTTTTCTACCTAAGTCTGCTCTATAAATAGAAAACAAAAATAATGTGAAGATATCTTTCTAAATAAACTAAAAATAAAAATTACACTTTTATTTAAAAAAAAAAGCTACACACGTAAGCAAAAAATATTGAATTAAAAAAATATTGATTGACCTTTATAATTATTAAATATTTAATACACTCATCTCCACTGCACTAGAAAGATGATAAGGACCAAAGAAAAATCACAAATAGTTGAGATAAAAATAATGTCAATTCACTGATAACAATTAGAATAATTATAATTAACTATTGCTGTTGTTATTATTGATTGAATAAAAATAGGTAGTTAGTGGATACACTGAATTTAAGAAAGAACAATGAAAAAATTTTTAAATAAATGAGCAAAATATGTAATCGATTTTCTGAGACACCAGGATTGAAACATACCAGCTCGGCAGTCCCCATCTGACTTTCATGATCGGCGCGGCGTCGGCTATTTCGTGTTGATATCTCGCTTCCGCGCATACTGTTTCTACACAAGTTCTATACAGCCAAAGCGCACACAAACTACAACAAAGAATTAATGCATTTATATCTTTAAAATAGTCAAGTTAAATTGGATCAAAGTTCTATAATTTTTAATTTTGTAATAAATATTTATGACATTAAATTTAGCTGTCACTTGACAATTTTTTAATTTTTTTTAACAAACAAATTGGTTCCAAAAAATTATTTAAAAAATTTTTTTTAATTTCTACATGTCAATTTAAAAGAAAATTTTTTTTATTAAAAATTTTATTACAAAAATTCTTAAAATTATCAAATATCTGCTAAATTCTTTTTCATTAAATTTAGCTATTACTTCACGATTTTTAAATTATTTAAAAAAAATTACATTTACAATTTTTTAAAATTTTTATAAGTCAATTTTTTTTGCCATAATTTTTGTTAAAAAAAATTATTAAATTTATTAAATATCTGCTAAATTCATTTTTATTAAATTTAGCTGTCACTTCACAATTTTTTAATTTTCTTTAACAAAAAAAATTATTTAAAAAAAATTGCATTTTTAATTTATTAAAATTTCTACGTCAATTTTTTTGTCATAATTTATTTGTTAAAAAAATTCTTAAAATTATCAAATATCTGCTAAATTCATTTTCATTAAATTTAGCTGTCACTCCACAATTTTTCAATTTTCTTTATAACAAATATTTTTTTTGAAAAATTATTTTAAAAAATTGCATTTAAAATTTTTTAAAATTTCTACATGTCAATTTTTTATTTGCAATAATTTGTTTGTTAAAAAAATTATTTAATTTATTAAAAATCTGCTAAATTAATTTTCATGAAATATTTTTTTAAAGTTGCTACATTTAATTTACAATAAAATTATTACACAAGAAGTTTCTTAAATTGTTATCATTATAATTTAGATATCACAACACTTATATTCAACAATTAAATTTATCGAAATTTTTATCTTTGAGAAATTTAATTACACAAAATTTAACAAAAAATTCAAGATAATTTATGACATTGAACTTGACAAACATTAGAAATTTTTAGCAATTAAATTATTATAAAAAAAAAATTATTTGGGAAAATTTTTAGAACATTATTATTATTGTAATTGATTAACAATGATAATACTGAAGTTAGTTGACAGCTGTCAATTTTTTTAATTCTTATAAATAACAAAAATTAACAGATGTCAAAACTAACTTCAGTATCATGATAATTTTTATTTATTTGTAATGATCTAAAAATTTATTATATATCAATGCAAAAATTTTTTAATTTAAATTAAATTTATTTGAATTTTAAAATTTATGGACTTACTCATAATATCTTCAAAATTATCTATTTAATTTTAAAGTATATTGAAAATAGAATGCATCAAAAGAAAAAAAATATATAGAATTAAAACATCTCTGCACATCTACCAATAACTCATAATTAAAAAAATAAATTATTAAATACAAATATTTAGAAAACGACTAAACATAATAATCATTTAATAGCTCGTTAGTTACAGTGAAATAACATCTGATAAAAATGTAATGTCAATACACACGTGATAAGATTTATAATAAAAACTTTTATTGTTTTATTTTTATTTACTTTGTACTAGAGGTTACTGCCGTAAAATATATAGTACACAACTAACTCCACAACATGAAGGATTTTTATGATGAAGATAAATGTTATATTAAAACTCGGCTTTATGTTTGAAACAAATAAATTCAAACTTGTAAAATTTTATAATTTTTTTTTTTTCGGCGATGTTGAATTATTTGACAATTCATAACTTTTTCAATTCAATTCGATGAGTTAGTTCTTATTTTTCAGTTCTTTGTTTTATAAGTGCTAAAAAAATTTTAAATCCAACTATGACTGCAGTTGATATACATCTCATAAAAATTATTATGAATTACATCATAATTATTATTGATTAAAAAAAATAATTTCTTAGATTTTCCATCGAGTAAACTTTGATGTAAAATATTATTATTTTCATCTTCTTTTTAACAAACTACTTATTTTTCTTCGCGAGCTTTTCGTCTTCGATCATTCTTAAGTTTCATTTGCTTTTCAAAATGTTCCTATTCTGTTTCGATAGATTTTTTTGCCCGCTACAAAATTAATATTTTCATTATAGTAGATTTTTTAGACACTGAGAAAAAAATTTTTTTTTTTTAAAGAATAAGAATTGTTATGATAAAAAATTATTTTATTGAAAATTTTTTAACAATTTTTATTTTTTAGCTGAAGAAATAAAAATTTTTCTCACTGTAACTTTCTTATTGAAAGAAAGATTTTTTTTTTTATTAAAAAAAGATAATTTTAGATAGAAAACTTGCAAATTTTCATCCAAAATGGTTTTTTCATAAATCTGCACAGTAAAAAAAATTTACTTGAATCAAATAAACAATTTTAAACAACTTCATCTTATTGATTTAAGTAAAAAAATTCTTAAACTAAGAAATTTTACTTGATTCAAGAATTTTTCGTCTTATTTCAAGACAATAAAACTCTTCAAAATTATTTTCTTGGTTTAAGAATTTTTTTTCTTAATTTAAATTAATTTTTTTTTTCAGTGTAGAAAACTTTTTTTCAACAAGAAGGTACTGTAAAAAAAATTTTATTTATTCAGCAAAGAATAAATTATTTAAAATTCTCATGTCAATTTGAAAAAAAAAAAAAATTTTTTTTCTCTCAGTGTAGATAACTTATGACATTAAAATGAACAGTCACTTGATAATTTTTTAATTTTATTTAACAAACAAATTTTTTATAAAAAATTGCATTCATAATTTTTTAAAATTTCTTCATGTCAACATTTTTTTGCCGTAACTTATTTGTTAAAAAAATTGTATTTTTAATTTTTTAAAATTTCTTGGTCAATTTTTTTTGCTATAATTTATTTGTTAAAACAATTATTAAATATCTGCTAAATTAATTTAATTAGATACGTTAATAGTAACTTTTTACAAGATAATAATAACTTTTTTTTTTTTAAATAAAAGCTTGACTCATTATTATTAACCCAAAATAAAATCAACAATGAGAGAAACAAATATTTTCGTTAAATAATAAGCATTTAAAAAGAAGTCTAAATGCATGTATTACTGCGGGTCTTGAAGTAGTTTGCTCCTATTACAGCGTGTCCCCATTACTGCCATAGATCCAGTTACTGCGTATATTACTGCAAAACGGCTATATTTTAGGATTTACTTAAAAATGAACAAAAACTTATCAAAAAGAAAATTTATTAATTTAATTTAATAACAAAAATTCGTCATAATCTAAATGATAAGTAACACAACCTTAATGTATTATTAATTGACCGGTATTCGTAAATTTTAATCGACTTAATCTTACAATCTACTGATTATTGCTTTCTTGGACCTCAGATTCTTCTCTTTGGAGCTCAACGGTTGGTTTTGTCAATTTGAACCAAATTTTAAAGAGACTTTCATCTTCTTTTCTTCCTCCCCAAATGGAGCTATCATTGGCTCTGAATGATCTTAATGTGTCTTCGTCTATCAAACTCTCTAGAACTCGTAAAGATTCAGTTTCAGTGGATATTTCAGGCATTGTACCTTCAGACGTTGAAGAGCTTTCTATTTCATAACAAGAAGTTGTGAGCTTTTTGAAAACTTTACTGTAATCAATTGCGTCAGCGTTCAGAGGATGTAATCCGCATGTTTTGAACCCGTTTTCCAACATTTTTTTTAAATCTAAACTCTCGAATGTTTTCTGTAGTACAAGAGCTACTTGACTTTTCTTTATACTAATTGTACCAGAATTTTCACATAAAGTTTGAAACGATCTTTGGTAAGCTGCTGGGAATGTTCGAAAAAGCGCTACATCCAACGGTTGTAAAATATCAGTAGCGTTAGGATGTAAAGCAATGAGAATAATTTTATTTTCACTACAAAATTGACTCAAAGGTAAAGATACGTGTGGACAAAGTCCATCAATATACAATATAATTGGAAGCTTAATATTATTTTGGACAACACACGGGAAGAAAACATTCCCTATGTACTCGTAAAAAGTTTTTGCCGTCATCGAACCATTCTCTGAATGACCCAAACTAAAGTTTTTAGGTGCTACTTTTATAACGTCTTTAGGTATGCTTTTACCTGCGAAAAGTAGCAAAGTTGGTACTAAGTTACCTGCTGCATTAGCAGTGATAAGAACGGTGATATTTTCTTTTTTATTCTTACTAACAATACTGTACTCGTCCCTAGTTCCTCCTGACGCAAGAACAGATGGTTTAAGATTCATGGAGACACTAATTTCATTTGCATTAAAAATCCTCGAAGGATCAATATTTAAAATATCTTCTTCTGTTGAAATTTCAATGAGGTGATTCTTGATTCCTTGAAACCATGCACGTATACCTAATTCTGTCACTTGGGCTCGGGTTACAGATAAATTTTCAGAAACTATTTCAGATACTTGAGGATGACGTTTTATAAAAGCTTCATACCAAGAGCGTCCTGGTCTATTATCCACAAATGGAGTTTTGCGGTCATCAGAGTCACATAATAGTTTAACACTATCTAATAATTTTTGTTTGGTTATAGGAAACCCTTGCTTGCAGCAGTAAAAAATCCACTCTACCAGCTCATTTTCTTCTATATTACTTAGAACTGTTGATGGTCCTGGTGGTTTATCGTTGTATTTGCATTGTTTTTTTGCTCTAATTGTCGACTCTGGAACATTATACTTCCTGGAAACCTCGGCTGTTGTCTTTCCATTGAAAACTTCTTCAACTGCTAATTTTAAATTAGCTTTATCATAATTACACCGAGTTCTTTTAATTACTTTCGACTTCTTATTTTTTTGTTTATTAACTTTTGATTTTTTATTAATTTTATTCATAGTTTATTTTTCACTTCGAGACAACTTGATTTACGCAATCACACACTTATTTAAAGGTTACAATAGCCGTGTTTACATCCGTAGTAATAGGTACAGACTTATACAAATAGAGGCGCTTCTATTACTGCAGTCGACTGAGAAAATCGCAGTAATATATACACGCACACGCGCTTTCTCGGTACCAATTACTGCGTCTTTAAATAAATAAATTTTAGTGATCAAAATGTAATTCTTATTAAATTTTTGTTTTTAAAAAAGGGTTATCTAACTTGTAAACGTTAAAAATATAATAATTAGGTCATTTATGAAAAGAAAAAGACTTTATACGACCACCTCTTTTCAATTAATAATAAATTGAATAATTGTCATACGTATAAAACCAATGATATTAAAGTTAGCTGTCAATTAGCCATTTTTTAATTTTATTTAACAAAAAAATTTGTTCTAAAAAATTATTATTAAAAAATTGCATTTTTAATTTATTAAATTTTCTAAATGTCAATTTATTTTCTTATTTTTTTTATGCAATAATTTATTTATAGAAAAATTCTTAAAATTATTAAATATCTGCTAAATTAATGATCATATAAAATCACATATAAAAACAGAAATAATTTTTTTTTTAATCAGAAAAGTCATAACCCATTTATTGACAATTAAAACAAGAAAATCCGCAGTAATATATTACACCCACAGTCATACCCACACTTACCCTAAATTCTTTGGTACATTGTTGACATTTTTTCACCTGTAATTCATATACAATCGTGATGGTCATTAATTTAAGTATGTTTTTAATATTACTGGAAAATAGCCGTTTGTAAACTAGAACATTTATTAATTCTAAATTTGAAAATCAATTGATAATGTCATTTGTAAAATTAGTTTTAAATCATTTAAATTATTTTAAATTAATTAAAATTATATTATAGATTAATAATAGATATGTCAAACGCAAGATATGAGCTCGAAGAGCTCAAAAGCATAGAACAGTGACCGCTTTGAGCTCGGAGAGCTCAAAATAACACATAAATTGTAATTTGGAGCTCGATAATGTTACAAGCGCAATGTCAAGCGCTTATATATGGAATTAGCGGAAAGTTGCAGGGATGGTGTCTTCAGGGTCATCCGTTTTCCTAATTTTTATTTTATTTATTTACAATCAGCAAGTTGTCACAGTTGGAAATTAATATTTCTGTGGTGTGACATGCGGCTAATGTTTATTTATTTTAATTAAAAATAAGTGACTGAATTCAGGGAGAACTACTCATACGCAATATCACTGTGCTGAATTATTTATTTTTATTATTATTATATTATTATATTGGCAGTACTTTTATCTCGGATTGAAAAACTGGCCCTCAGTCATTATATATATAAAATAGCGAAAAGCAAAAATTTGTGGCTACGTAAATTTAGCCTATTCTTACTGCAAAATCTTATAAAATTAGCCGATTGTAAACCTTGTGAATTGTAAAATTAGCCGTTTTTAAACTTCTTATATATAAAGTTTTGAATGGGCGGTCGAATCTGCTCTAATTTTCAGAAAAACTAAATTTATGGAAGTCCTTTTAGATGCCTCAAATCATTTTTTGATCCGTCGATCCGTTCAAGAATCACGATTGATTTATTAGTAACATAATTTTACAATTCACAAAGTTTACAATCGGCTAATTCTATAAATTTATGCAGTAAAAATTTAATAAATTCACGTAGCCATAGATTTTTGTTTTTTTGCTATTTTATAAATGACTGAATTTAAATTGGGTGAAATTTCCATTTCGCTAATTTCATTAATATCATTTTTTATTTACGACTAATTTTACAAATTACATTATCAATTAATTTTCAAATTTATATTTTATAAAAGTTCGAGTTTACAAATGGCTATTTTCCAGTAAACTTAAAAACATACTTAAATTAATGTCCATGATTGTATAAACATATATGTGCGTGTTACATATCCCAAGTGTCACATAAAAAACTGTTGACTGTTTGGTGAATTTTATTTAACAAGAAGTCAAAAATTAATAATTGTCAATTTAAATTCAACTCAATATTTACCAAAATAATTTATGAAAATTGAGTTAGCCGACACTAAAAAATTTTTGTTTTTTTTTTTTTTTTAATTAAAAATTAGAACTAAAAAACTATTTTTAAAAAATTTCACGGATAATTTTTGTTTTAATTTTTTAAAAATTATTTTTCAATAAAATAAATTATCAAAATTTTCAAATGTCGGCTAATTTATTAATTTTCATAAAAATTTTTGTGTCGCTCCCCTGATAGCTACAGTTTCAGACCAACCAAGTTGGTGTCAGATAGTTTTGCTACCAACTTACCGACAACTTGCAGTCAACTTCCGAATTTGAAACTGTTGGCGTCAAGTTGTCTACAATTTTCTGCGAAAGACAAGACCACCCTGATAGCCACCTTACCTATAACTTACTGTCAATCTACGTCCGCAATTTGAAGCAAACTTGACGGAAAGACTTGGCAATGCGAGCGATTACCTATTAGTTACCTATAACTTACTCTGCAAATAGACGTCAAAACTTGCTGTACAAGTATATCCGTCAAATTGTAGTAAAGTTGAAAGGAAATTTAACAACAAGTTTGATTGTTAACTGGTATTCAAGTTGCGGCCGTAGATTTCCGTCAATTTGCTTACAACTGTTGTTGAGTGAAGAATTACCGCCAACTTGAAGGATAAATTAACCGTAACTGTTGGAAGTCAACACTTACTGAGAAAGCGCTGGCTATCAGGGCAATCTACTGCCGCAATATGTCGCCAAATTTCTCGAGAAACTTGTCGTCAACTTGGTGCGAAAGAGTTTCGAAAGCAATTTCTGCCGACAACTTGGCGACAACTTGGTGAACAACCGAGTTCATTTCCAAGACTTGCCGCCAACTTGGTGACAAGTTGCTGCAGCAAATCAACGGAAAGTTACGACCGGTTTGGCTATCAGGGTCGGAGTCGGGATGTTAACCCTGATAGCCAGCGCTTTCTCAGTAAGCGTTGACTTCCAGCAGTTACGGTTAATTTATACATCAAGTTGGCGGTAATTCTTCACTCAACAACAGTTGTAAGCAAATTGACGGAAATCTACGGCCGCAACTTGAATACAAGTTAACAATCAAACTTATAGTTAAATTTCCTTTCAACTTTACTACAATTTGAAGGAAATACTTGTACAGCAAGTTTTGACGTCTATTTGCACAGTAAGTTATAGGTAACTAATAGGTAATCGCTCGCTTTGCCAACTCTTACCGACAAGTTTGCTTCAAATTGCGAACGTAAATTGACAGTAAGTTATAGGTAAGGTAGCTATCAGGGTACTTGCTTAAAGATTGAAGAGAAAATTTCCTTATCGATCATGTGTAGTGATGTAATATCCACGTTCGATAATAAGGACATTAGTTAAGCGAACGGGCGGTAGAACAGAGTTCCAGAGGTACAGTTGTTTCGAAGCGATACTGATATTACCAATCGTGGATTATTCAGAAATTCATGATGACCGAAAATACACAGTGCCCTGATAGCCACCTTACCTATAACTTACTGTCAATCTACGTCCGCAATTTGAAGCAAACTTGACGGAAAGACTTGGCAAAGCGAGCGATTACCTATTAGTTACCTATAACTTACTCTCCAAATAGACGTCAAAACTTGCTGTACAAGTATTTCCGTCAAATTGTAGTAAAGTTGAAAGGAAATTTAACTATAAGTTTGATTGTTAACTTGTATTCAAGTTGCGGCCGTAGATTTCCGTCAAATTGCTTACAACTGTTGTTGAGTGAAGAATAACCGCCAACTTGATGTATAAATTAACCGTAACTGCTGGAAGTCAACGCTTACTGAGAAAGCGCTGGCTATCAGGGAAACGAGAGCACAGTGCCGCACGTTTGCGCTATAAACGTGCAAGAAGTTTAGTACAATAAAACAAAAAAAAAGTTAAAATTTTCAATTAAAAAAAACTTTAAAAAAATTATGTAAAAAATGTAAATACTAATTTTATTTTTATGTTTGTATTATTCATGATCCACGAAACAAATCACTAAAAGTTACTAATAGTCCACTGACTTTATTTTTACCCGTCGTAGAAGTAACGCTAGTGGAATTTTATTTTTTCATTTTATGTAAAAAGATCCGTTGATTACGAAAATAATAATAAAAAAGCTCAACTCCCCGGCGTTTTTTAAATAAATAATGAAATTACACTAGGGTCGCTGAAACACCGTGCAGTTTTATCAAATAACTTATATATATATATATATATATATATATATATAGTCAAGTGATTACTAACTTCAATGTCCTAGCTAAAAACAAAAAACTATTAAATTAATTCAATTCACTCACTTTATATTCATAATTGCAAATACAATTTTACATTTTTGACATTATAAAAATATTGTGTCAGATATAAGTGACTGAAAACACAATGATGGTGTGAGTCAAAGATGGCTCGTCTGATAGTGAGCTTGACTAGGAACTAGGCAATTCGGGTTCGAGTCCCCGGTTTAACAATAAAATATTAATTTTTTTGCCACGGCAGTAGTTAAAAATTTTTACTGTGCTTCGTTTTTTTACCGATAAATTATCTACCGATGTAAAAAAGAGACAAATTCTGATAAACTGCCATATCAATGAGTGTTTTCATTCATTTTGTCCAACTTCACTAAAACTTCACATTAAGACTTTTACTAAAACATTTTGATAAAAGTTAAAGTTAAATTTCGGCCCTAGATTGTATAAAAGTTGGACTGCAACTTAACGTTAACTTTTACAATTGGATGGCTATCAGGGTTGCGGACGTAGATTGACAGTAAGTTATATAGGGGTATAAGATGGCTATCAGGGAAAATGTTGATAAAATAAAGTTTCTATTTTACCAGTAGTTGATTTAAAATTCCAGTCGGTAATGCAAACTTGACAAAAAAAAAGGTATAAAAAAATTTAGTTGTGCGCAGGCGTAAATATAAATAACAATTCGCATGCGCAAAGCTCTAAATTTGGAGGGGCGTAGAAAAGAGGCCATATTGTACTGTTAAGTTGAAAGAAAGAAAAATAATTTTGTTGTACTATCATCCCGTGACCGTGAGTTTTAAATATTATTTAATTGTTTATTCCAATAAATTAAAGGTATAAAAATAAAAAAAATAAAAAAATATTTTTATTACCTTTATTATTAACAATAATAATTAATAATTGTTAATTAATAATTGTTAGAGAGCAGGGGCAAGAGCGAGAGAAACTCGAGTAGACAAGAAAAGTTGACAAGGCAGAGGAGGAGTAAAAGAAAGAAGGTACAGGAACTAGTGCTCAAGTTTATTAGAAATATATATATATATATATATATATATACATATACTATATAAGAAGAATCATCATAGATTTTCCATTGAATATAAATATATACATATAAAGTGATATCTGTAATCAATTAGACGTCGATTTATAGCCCCATACATTATTCGTTTCAACGTCTAAAGTTTGTTGCTGACACAACGAGATGGGCACTAGAGATGACGAGTACGATTATTTATTTAAAGGTATTCAAAAAAATATTTTATTATTATTATTATCCTAAAAAATTATATTTCAATCGTAGACTTAAGTAATTAAAGTAAAAAATCCTGTCAGTCAATTATTATTTGCTTAGAAAATATTAATTAATTAATTTATTTTTTAATATTTAAAAATAAATAAAAATTGGAATCATTGACATTGAAGAGTGAAGACGCACGTCATGAAAACTGACGTTGGCTACGAGTTAGCATGAGTGTCGTGAGTTAACGGACATAGACATACTCTATACTCACCGACTCATCCGTTGTATTTAACTGCTTGTACTGTATTATTTTGTTGTTCATTACTTATAAGTATATCAAATCACGATTTTATTGTGATTGTCATTCTAGATTTTTAAAATCAACTACAAAAATTGACATTTCATTTTTTTTTATATTTTTAATTAATTAATTAATTAATTTATTTATTTATTTATTTTCTTTGCCTTTATTTTAACCCAACAGCCCAAAGGGCCAATAACAGAGTTTCTCAATTTTTACAAAGTAGATTTCCACAGAGTGAAAAACATAAGTAATAATATGAATCTATACGGGTGATTCTCTGTAAGGACGTCTTAAATCTGTACAAAATTGTCCGACCAAATTATTTTTGATTTTATTAGAAAAAGAATTAACAAGGGCTACACAGAAAAAATAATTTACTTGAATCAAGTAAATTATTTTGAAGAATTTCGTCTTCTTGATTTGAGTAGAAAAATTCTTAAACTAAGAAATTCTTCTTGATCCAAGGCACTGAAACTCTTCAAAATTATTTTCTTGGTTTAAGAATTTTTTTCTTGATTCAAGTTAATTTTTTTTCTGTATACAAAACTATCGGCTTTATGATAATAAATACCCAGCAAATTGAATTTTTTTTTTCGATATTTATGTATCTTTTGCCATATGACATGACAGAGGACTGTTTTTTTTTTTTTTTTTATCAAATTGAGAAAAATCAAGCAAACTATTTCAATGCATTCAACTTTTCAAGTTCTCAATGAATATTTACACTGAAAAAAATAATATGAAGACTTATGGATCCAATTTTGTAAATAAATTATAAATAAAAATAGCTTCCAGGGGACTGAGTTTTGAAGTGGCCCAGAACACATAAGTTTTATTTTTGAGCTCGAAGAGCTCAATAACATCATTAGTGCAATTTTAAGCGCCTAGGTATGGAAGTGGCGGGAAGTTGTAGGGGTGGTCTTCAGGGTCAACCGTTTTCCTAATTTTTTTCTTTGTTACCTTTGATATTATAACTAAAATTAAATATTTTTTATTAATTTAATTTTTATTACTTATTAATGATCAAAATATTCATATCACCGTGAATCTAGTATACATAACAATTGATCATTTATTATTAAAAGATCATACATAGATTTTGCTCATCTTCGAAATAGTCCAAGATAATCGTCCAAATACTAAATACACTGAAAAAAAAATTTTTTTTCACCAAGAATACTAAATTTTTTACTCGAGTTTTCTTGATTTAAAAAAACTGGTATTCTTAATCTTAAAATACCATGCTTTATTATAAGACTAGTTTTTTAACAGTGAGAAAACGGTATTCTCATAGTTAAAAAACTTTCGTATTTTAATCATAAGAATACCAGTTTTTTAACCATAAGGAAACATTTCCTTGGAAGAAAAAAACTTTTTTTTCAGTGTACATTAATTCGAATAATATTAAGATTTATGGATCCAATTTTATAAATAAAAATAGTTGCCTGGGGACTGAGTATTTCGTGGCCCAGACACATGTTTCCAGCACAAACGTTGTTATGACACTAAATAAAATGACGATAAAGCGCTAACAGCCCTATGGTTATTAACTCAAGGCTAGTTAAGTCCTTATAAACCTTACAGAAGGTAAAATAACACGCTGGATTTTTTTTTGGCTTTGAACTTCTGGCAGGGGACTGTTCTTAAAACGCCTGAGACAAACTTTGGTTTAATGAATTCAATGAAACAAATTAACTTTCGGTACTTTTTATTGAAGAAGATTGTTAGTTAACTAATTAAGTTTATAAACGCTATTGACAAAATTCTATATTATGGACAAATAACTTAAAATTTAATCTTAAAGTTTTAATTTTGGGAAAGGTACAACCTAGGGGACTTTTATTTCGGTGGTTTACAAATTTACAGCAAAACAAACCAAAATTTATTTCATTTTAATTTTTAATGCTCCAACTAGAAATGTTTTTTTACTTTTGTAATAAATTTTTTTTAGTAACAAAATAACAATTTTTCTAATAAAAAAATGCCAGGGACAGCAAAAAACATTTTTACAGAGAATCACCCACATAAACTAAATAAATTTTTAATTTTAATCCATATAATTTAATATGTGTTAACATAAATTCACTTAGTATGCAGAATTACATTTATAATTTATTTCCTTTCTCATTTTCGTTAGCTAGGATCTAAAAGTTAATATTAATATTAAATGTTCAGACTTTGTTACATTAAAATATTGTGCAATGTTCTAAATGTCATGAGTCTACGCTATCCAAAGCAATGATATCATCGTTCAGCCAACCCAATATTAACAATTACGATAAAATATAAACCTACTTTTTTTTTTTTAATTTTTTTGAGACTAGGCATCATTATCTAAAAATTATATACTTAAGTGTAACGAGAGTTTATTAATTACCGTCATTACCTTGAAATATTTTAGTCTCACCTCGGTAAAAAAAATGAAAATTGATAAAGTATTGTCCGTATCGTAAATTCAATACGATTGAATTATTCGGTCAAGACAAATATTGAGATAACGTATTTAAATAACATAAAACTTTTTAAATGTAATCAAAATTGATTGGTAAAATACGTAGGAAGATATCACCCGATTTACATATGACTAACGTATGTTTTTTTTTTTTTTTTTTTTGAACATACATTAGATATCTTAATTAACATTTATTCAATGTTAATTTTTATATATAAAATTTATCATTATTTTAAATAATTATTTTTTTTTACAGTGGTTCTTATTGGAGATTCTGGAGTAGGAAAGAGTAATCTATTGTCAAGATTCACCCGCAATGAATTTAACTTGGAGTCGAAGTCGACAATTGGAGTTGAATTTGCTACTCGTAGTATACAAGTCGATGGAAAAACTATTAAGGCCCAAATTTGGGATACTGCTGGACAAGAGCGTTATCGAGCTATAACCTCTGCGTAAGTTTTATTATAATATTTTTGGAATTACAGTGAAAATATTAGTCTTATATAAAGAGTTATAAAACAACATTTTTAGGAAATTTAATTTTATAAAAAAAAAAGTATCATGATTTTTTTATACGACTATTTTTTTTTATTAGTATTTAATTACAAAATTAAGACTCATGATAAATTATTAAAATTTTTGAAATTACGGCTTTCTTATTGGTCCTAAGAGGAAATTATAAGAAACACTTTTTTTTTTTTTTAAATTAAATTTTGAACAACTTTCATTTGAAAAAAATTTTTTTATACGACCAATATTTTCGCTTTAATATCAAATTTTAGATATTAATTTTTATTTTGAATTGTAAGCAAAAATTCTAGCCGCAATCATAAATAATTATTTGACCCGGATTAAAAAAAAAAAAAAAACTAATTGAAGAAAGAAACTGACATTAAAAAAAATCTGTTAATATTTTGGATTTTTATAACAACTAAATTATAATAAAAAAATTCCAAATCTAGAAATTAAAAAAAATTAGCAACCTTGCAGTCACTATGTGACTGCCGTGACTAGTATGGTTGTCCAATTTCAAAACACAGTAACTGACAATTTTAAGATTTTTAAAAATTTTTCTTATTAAAAAAAAGTTTGCGCACCAAATTGATATAAAATTTGATTTATAAATAGAAAATACTTGAACATAAATATTTTTAAGAAAAATTACTTGAAATTATAATAAGGTCTAAAAATTATAAAAAATGCAGTAATACTAAAAAAAATCAAGTAGAAAAACTTTGCAGTTACTGTTTTTTAAAATTGGGCAGCCGAGTGAACTATAAAAAATTTTAATTTTGCTTTATTAAATGACTTTTGTTAAATTGCACTGAACTTTATTAAATATTGACGTTTTTAAAGATATAAGCTCATCCCGATGTTACACTCATCAAGAGCTTTCATTTGAGTACCCACATGTATTTTGATATATTTTTCATATATACATATATATAATATACATAAATATATGAAAAATTGGTGTGGGTACTCAAATGAAAGGTCTCGATGAGTGCAACGTCGGAATGAGCTTATATCGTTAAAAATATCATTAGTAGACGAAATACCCAGTCATTCCTCAATTATTGATATTTTTGAAGATATAAGCTCATCCCGATATTACATTAATCAAGAGTTTTCATTTGTCTACCCACATGCATTTTGATATATTTTTCATATATTCATATGTATAAATATATAAAATATATGAAAAATTGAAGTAGGTATTCAAATGAAAGATCTCAATAAGTGTAATGTCGGGGTGAGCTTATATTATATCTTTCATAATATCAATCGTTCACATAATACAAGGTCATTTCTTAATTATGTTTCTAGAGATAGAGCATTTTCAAATGCAGCATAAATACTTATCATAATAAATTGACTATCGGTGAGAATGAAATGAAACCTTGAAAAAGCACAAATTCAAGTCAAGACCTATAGAAAATTTTTTTTATTCTCTTATCACTAATTTTTTTTATTATCACTACCATTGTCAGGCGTCTTTTATGAAGAATTAACATTATCTATTGTTTGAAATTTTTTTTCTCAAAATTCATAAAAAATTGTATAATAAAAAAAAAAAATTTTAATTAAAAAAAAAATTAACTTCACGATTTTAAATACACTGATAGAAGGATTTATTTATAAAAGGATTTATAAACTATTAATAAATCGATTTATTTGAAGACAATTATTTAATTGATTAAATTTTAATAAATATTTTTTAACATTCAATAAATATTTATTTGGGAGGAAAGTACAATTATTAATAGTTAATAAATATTCATTAACTGTTAACAAATATTTATTAACATTTAATAAATAATTTAATAACTGTTGATAAATATTTATTAAATTCTATGATGTTAAAAAATCATTCATTAAAAGTTAATAAAGCTTATTAAATATAAACAAATCCTTCTATAAGTGTATTTGTTGAAATCTAAAAAATAAAAATAAATATGTATATTGATTATTACAGATATTATCGTGGAGCTGTCGGCGCATTATTGGTGTATGACATAGCGAAACATTTAACATATGAAAACGTCGAGAGATGGTTACGAGAACTCCGAGATCACGCAGATCAAAATATTGTAATAATGCTTGTGGGCAACAAATCTGATTTAAGGCATCTTCGTGCAGTCCCAACTGACGAAGCGAAAGCATTTGCTGAGAGAAATGGTCTTTCATTTATTGAAACATCAGCCCTCGATTCTACCAATGTTGAAACGGCCTTCCAAAATATTTTGACTGAGATATACAGAATTGTCTCGCAGAAACAAATAAGAGATCCGCCTGAAGGTGATACCATTAGAGCACAAAATGTTGAACAGATTGACGTTAAACCGACAATGAGTTCGGATGGAATGCGTAAACAATGCTGCCAGTGACTCGCCGCACTGTATTCCACGTAATTTATATTTATATTGATCATTATTAATATTATTATTATAAAGCATTAATAAAATAATTAAATATTAATAGTAAATATATATGTTAATTTATAGAATCAGTAATACTAAAGGAGGAAAAATAAAAGTGGTAGCTGGTGATAAATATTACAGGTGTGTAACAGAACGAGAACTAAGACTATGTGTGCGGGCCTGTACTCTCGTATGCTAAGTAACGAGGATCTCCGTAGCCTCAGTTAAAACTAAACATACTTCGGGGGATGCTACAAACAATTAACCTTCAGGACACTGACATTTTAATTATAACATCTTTATTGTGATCGTGGGCGCACTTTCGAGCTGTTTTACAATTAAATTCAATTGTCATGCTCGTACAGCGTACAACGAACAGTGTCCCTTTTAATATTTGTTTTGTTAAACCATCTCCTCAGCTCTCTCCTGAAATTTTTTTTTCAACATCCATTAACAGTCTACAAATATATTATTATAAATATACATATTTATATTTATATCTACAATCGTGGTCATTAATTTAAGTATCTTTTTAATATTACTGGAAAATAGCAGTTTGTAAACTAGAACGTTGACAATATCATTTGTAAAATTACTCGCAAATAAAAAATGATATTAATGAAATTAGCGAAATGGAAATTTCACCCAATTTAAATTCAGTCATTTTATAAAATAGCAAAAAACAAAAATCTATGGCTACGTGAATTGAGTTAATTCTTACTGCAGAAACTTAGAATAGAATTAGCCGATTGTAAACTTTGTGAATTGTAAAATTATGTTACTAAATCAATCGTGATTCTTGAACGGATCGACGGATCAAAGTTTTTCTGAAAATTAGAAAATATTCGACCGACCCATTCAAATGTTATAAGAAGTTTAAAAACAGTTAATTTTTGTCACAGATTTTTGTTTTTCGCTATTTTATAAATGACTTAATTTATATTTGATGAAATTTCCATTTCGTTAAATTTATTAAAATCATTTTTTATTTGCGACTAATTTTGCAAATGACATTATCAACTAATTTTCAAATTTATAGTTTATAAACGTTCGATTTTACAAATGGCTATTTTCCAGTAAACTTAAAAACAAACTTAAATTAATGACCACGATTGTACATATTTATATTTATATCTATATACATATATATGATGATGTGATTTTTTAAGCTATCAATTAACTACTCACTTCAATCATATATAAATATAAATATATATTCATTATTGTGTCCAGGATTTTTGCCTTAATTTTAAAATAATAATTAATATCAAATTTTTTATATTAAAGCGAAAATATTGGTCGTATAAAAAATTTTTTAAATACAAGTTCAAAATTTAATTTTATAAAAAAAATGTCTTATAATTTTCTCTTAGGACCAATAAAAGAGCCGTAATTTTCAAAAGTAAGATTTTTATAATTTGCAAAAATTTGAATAATTTATTGTCTTGATTTTGAAATTGCGGTAAAAATATTAGTTGTATAAAAAAATCATGAGACATTTTTTTTAGAAAATTAAATTTTTAACTTACTACGAAAAAAATAAGATGACACTGGATATCATCCCAGATTTTACTCAGTGATATCTGTAGTGAAAAAAAATTTTAGATTATACTGAGTGATATCTGGATTATAATTGTAATTTCCGATTTCATCCATTAATATCTCTGATTATACCGCGTAAAGGATTAAACTGGATATAATCCGAGAGTGTATCCTGTAGAATTTGGATTATACTCAGTAGAATCTTGAATTATAACCAGTGATATCTCCGCCATTTTTTTTTTTTCTAATGCCTGCGCACTTAGCATTATCATATCTACTATGTATTTTAAATTGTTTTAAATACTATCTGAAATTTTTTTTTCACCACAAATATCACTGAGTATAATCTGGGATGATATCCAGTGTCATCTTGTTCTTTCCGTGTAGGACCAATATTTTCGCGGTAATTTCAAAATTAAGATTTTTTTAATTAGCAAAAATTTGAATCATTTATGAGTCTTAATTTTGGAATTGCGACAAAAATCTTGGCTCTATTCATAATATACAGACTCACATACATAGAAGACACGTAATACACACCATACAACATTATTATACATAATAAACACACCACATAATACATAAAAAAAAATATATGTTATAATAATAATTAAATGTTGTATTACCGCTTCTTTGTAATACATTATACAGTTATTATTCTCCGCATAGTGTGACGCGACTTATATTAACGAATTTTTAATAATAATTATAAATATATTTATCATGAAAATATGTGTAAGTACTCGTATGTCAATGCGGGCCCTTAGAATGTCTAAGAAATCCGTTCAATGATGAAAAAAAAAAAATCTTAATGTTCTAAAATCAAATCAATCAGAAATTAGTGTAAAATTTTAAAATCTAAAATATCAGCAAAATTATGAAAAAAAAAAAAAAAAAAAAAAAAATTGGTATTGCTCACTGTCCGTCGCGTTCTTATGTAGTTACAACAAAAATTTAGACACCATGCTACCTGTGGCTTTTAAATTTTATTTTATTATTATTTTTTTTTAATTGTAAGAGCCTTTTTTTTCTAAGCTGTGCGAAAACTTGAGAATGGAAAAATAATTGTAATAATATTAATGATAATAATAATAATAATAATAATAATAATAATAATAATAATAATATTAATTAACTTTAATGTCCGTTAAGCAATGAAGAAGATATTATTTTGATTATCTTATATATTAATTGTTTTCATTGCATATTTATAATTACAATCATCTCAACGGTGTCTAGAAATTTATTTGATACATCGTAATTAATAAAATAATTTCGTAGTAAATAAAATCACATTTAATGAACAGTAAGTTGTAAATTTAAATGTCTATGCTTTTGATCACTCCGCGAGATTAAAAAAAAAAATCCAGTAATTTTTATGAATGCTTTAGGGTAAATACAAAAGCGTAATATTAAAGAAAATAAAACACCACATTATGTATAATTCTCTAACCATATTTTTAATCAATGTTATTATTTCAATAGTTGGAAAAGGTACAATACAGCTTACGAGCTAAGAAAAAAAATTTTTAAAAACTAAATATATCCTTTTTTTTTTTTATTTTAATCCTTTAAACATGTGAAAGTAAACTAAGGAAAAATAAATTTTCATTTTAATTATCAAAAGTACGACAAAGTAAAAACCAACAATAATTTTCAAGTCTTTTTAATACGTACTAGCAACCTTGTAGTCACTATGTGACTGCCGTGACTTGTGGACTATAAATCAATAAAATTTTGCTTTATTAAATAATGACTTTTGTTAAATTGCACTGTACTTTCTTAAATATTGAAGTTTTTAAAGATATAAGCTCATTCCGATGTTACACTCATCAAGAGCTTTCATTAGAGTACCCACATGCATTTTTATATATTTTTCATATATACATATATATAATATATATAAATATATCAAAAATTGATGTGGGTACTCAAATGAAAGGTCTCGATGAGTGTAATGCCAGAGTGAGCTTATACCTTAAAAAATGTTAATATTTTACAAGATACAAGGTAATTTCTTAATTATATATCTAGAGAGATATAAGCTCATTCCGATGTTACACTCATCAAGAGCTTTCATTAAGAGTTACCCACATAGTTCATTTTTTATATATTTTTCATATATACATATATATAATATATATAAATATATCAAAAATTGATGTGGGTACTCAAATGAAAGGTCTCGATGAGTGTAATGCCAGAGTGAGCTTATACCTTAAAAAATGTTAATATTTTACAAGATACAAGGTAATTTCTTAATTATGTTAAATTGCACTGTACTTTCTTAAATGTTGACGTTTTTAAAGATATAAGCTCATCCCAATGTTACACTCATCAAGAGCTTTCATTTGACTACCCACATGCATTTTGATATATTTTTCAGATAGATATATAAAATATATATAAATATATGAAAAATATATCAAATATGCATGTGGGTACTCAAATGAAAGGTCTTGATAAGTGTAACGTCGGAATGAGCTTATATCTTTAAAAATGTCAATAGTTGACAAGATACAAGGTCATTTCTTAATTATGTATCTAGAGATAGAGCATTTTCAAATGCAGCCTAAAACTTATCATCATAAATAGACTATTGGTGAGAATGATATGAAACCATGAAAAGACACAACTCCAGGTCAAGACTTTTCCAACAATACCAAATTTAACCACAAAAACCCATTTTATCATATAAATACACTGTCCATAAAATTTTGCTTATTCTCTTAATAATATAGATTCATGCTGAAAGTGTAGCAACAGACTGGATATTTGAAATTAATTTTTTTTTTCTAGAGAAATAAGCGGCTAAACAGCGATAAAAAAATTAAATAATTCCACAAAAATATTAAAAAATTTTTTTATTGACCTTCAGTAAAAAAAAGTTGTTCAGTTTTATATTTTCATTATTATCGATAATTAATTACTTATTTAGTAAGTAATAATAAGTAGCATGACGTCGGATTGACATTGATTTTATTTTCATAATTAAACAAAGCTAAGTCTGACGTGGTTTCGCGCTACGGAGTCGAATAAATTGACGCTGACTCAAGTCGTACAGTGCTTTTTTGGACAGCATGCTGATTCTTTTGTCTCCATTCTAACCATCTAATTAAATCAGCATTATTAGTAGTGTCACTTGTGTCTACTTTTGTTTCCAATTGTTGGTAGTAAGCTTCCCGGAGTAGGCGAAATGTTTGGATGTTGCGATATGGTAAATTTGTTACTGGATCACGATATTTTGCTGGAAGTCTTGAACAAAAGAATAAAAACATTATGGATCAAAAAAAATTTTTTTTGAAGAAAATTAACAGTTTAATAAAAAAAATTTATTTATTGAAAATTTTAAACAAATTTATTCCTTGACTAAAGAAATAATTTTTTTTCTTATAGTAACAACTTTTTGGTTGAAAATAAGGGTAATTATTTAAAAGGGGGGTCAAACTTATTTTTGGCCATAAAAAATAGATGAATTGATGGATCATCACAATTTTTTTTAACTTCTTTATTTTTACGGCGGATTTATGGTGGTGATATCGAAAATATTACAAAATTAGTATTTCAATTAAAAAATCATCTTTGAAAGTTGGAAAAAATTTTGGTTCTTACGTTTTTGGATAAAATTTCTATTTTATCCTTTTTTGATGTTTTTTTTTTTTTTAAAGTACATAAATAAGCGAACAATTAAAAAAAAAAAAAAAAAAAAAAAAAAA